ATCGCACATTAGTAATGTTTGAAAAGAGAGAGCAATGATCCTCTTACAAACATAATTGCTTGCCCATCAATGTGTACAAATATTGAGAAGTCAAAATGTTCTTATTTAAGAAGTCTTAACTTTGTCTTCTTATTTTAGTTTTTATTTATTTATTTATTTATTATTATTATTTATTATTTATTATTAGTGGTGTGTTATGAAAGATTAACCCAAAATGTATGTGTTGTATTTGCTTTTAGCAATTTGGAGAAAATTATTAAGTTATTATATAATTTTTTTGGTGTTTTGATTAAAGTTAAAATGTTAAAATGACGAATTTGTTAAAATTTTGACGAATTTATCAACAACAACAACAACAACAACAACAACAACAACAACAACAATAATAATAATAATAATAATAATAATAATAATAATAATCCAAACAAAACGATATACAAAATAAAATTAAAATTTAAAAAAACAACACAAAACAAAACAAAATGGAGCCACGTGCTCCCCTTTGTAAATGATGTTGGATCATTTTGATCCCACATTGAAAATGCTTAGAAAATGAGCTATTGAGTTCCTCTATATAAGAGGAGCAAATGTTCATCTTACAAATATAATTGTTTGCCCATCAATGTAGGCAAGTATTGAGAAGTCCAAAGACTTTTTTTTTTAGTACTATTGACCGGTCAAATTATGCTGTGGAGTTGTATCCACCTAGCAATGTGGACACAGTTTTAAAATTGTTCATAATTATGAATTATGTATATATAGTTTAAAAATTATGAATATATAGTTCTATAATTATGAACATAGTGTTGTGAACATAATTATGAACATATAGTTATGTAATTACGAATATAGAGATTCAATAATTGTGAATATGAAGTTAAAAAAATTATGAATATATAGTTTTATAATTATGAACATATAATTCAGTAATTATGAACATCGAGTTTTGTAATTGTGAAAAAAAAATAGAGTTTAATAATTATGAATATGAAGTTCAAAGATTATGAATATTTAGCTTTATAATTATGAGCATATAGTTCTGTAATTATGAACATAGAACTGTGTCCACCTTGCAAGGTGGACATGGTTCCACAACATAGCTATTCGATTGACCCTGTTACATGTAATATCTGTTCATATAAACTTTCTCAACCTATTGAAGCCCAACGAGTAAAAAGACTATTATTTAAGAAACATTATCTTAGTGGCTTCTTATTTTAGTTTTTTTTTTTTTTTTTTTTTTTTTTTAACTTTTTAAATTTATTAGGGGGTTTAGGAAAGATTAAAACCCAAAAGGTATATGTGTTGTTTTAGTTTTTAGCAGTTCGTAGCAAATGGCTAAGTTGTTAAAAAATATTTTTGGTGTTTTAATAAATTATAATATGTTAAACATGCGAATTTCTTAAAATTTTGGTGAATTTGCCAAATAATCAAATTACAACAACAACAACAATAATCCAAACAAAACTATATACAAAATAAAATTAAAATTTAAAAAAAAAAAAAAAAAAAAGACAAAGGGGAGTCACGGGCTCCCTTTGTCTTCTTATTTTAGTTTTATTTATTATTTATTTATTTATTTATTTATTATTAGTGGTGGTTGTGAAAGATTAACCCAAAATGTATGTGTTGTATTAGTTATTAGCAGTTTGGAGCAAATTACTGAGTTATTATATAAGATTTTTGTTGTTTTGATTAAAGTTAAAATGTTAAAATGACGAATTCGTTAAAATTTTGACAAATTTATCAATAATCAAATTACAACAACAACAACAACAACAACAACAACAACAACAATAATAATAATAATAATAATAATAATAATAATAATAATAATCCAAACAAAACAATATACAAAATAAAATTAAAATTAAAAATAATAAGAAGAAGACAAAAGGGAGCCACGGGCTCCCTTTGTAAATGATGTTGGATCATTTTGATCCCACATTAAAAATGTTTGGAAAGAGGAGCTCTTGACCTCCTCCATATATTACTTCTCTTACAAACACAATTGTTTGACCATCAATGTGGGTAAGTATTAAAAAGTCCAAAGGCTCTTATTATTATTATTATTATTATTATTATTATTATTATTATTATTATTATTATTATTATTATTATTATTATTATTATTATTATTATTATTATTATTATTATTATTATTATTATTATTATTTTTGAGTACTATTGACCTGAAAAATTATGCTGTGGAACCGTGTCCACCTTGCAAGGTAGACACGGTTTCAAAATTGTTCATAATTATGAATATATAGTTCAAAAATTATGAACTTATAGTTATGTAATTATGAATATAAAGATTCAATAATTGTGAATATGAAGTTCAAAAATTATGAATATATAATTTTATAATTATGAACATATAGTTCAATAATTCTGAACATAGAGTTTTGTAATTGTGAATATAGAGTTCAATAATTATGAATATGAAGTTAAGAGATTATGAATATATAGTTTTATAATTATGAACATATAGTTCAATAATTATGAAAATAGAATTGTGTTCACCTTGCAATGTGGACACGATTTTACAACATAACTATTTATAAATAGTCGATGAAAATTAAAAATGAAACGAAAATATTTCATTAATAATATTACATCATCAAATTAAAATGAAACGAAAATTAAGTAAAAATATCATTGCATCTATATTCTAACTGACTAATTGACTAAAAATAAAAAAAAAATTGGCTAAAAATTAATCTAATATTACTAATTGACTGAAATTATAAGAGGAAATGAATATTAATAATTGAATGCAAATAAAAAATGATCTATAATTGACTAAAAAAAAAAAGAAGAAATGGTCAGATCATTGCATTTTAATTAAAAATGGAATGGAATTAAAAACCGGAGGGAAATATTTCAATAATAATATTCTACATTATCAATAGTACATGCATATTTTAAAAAATAGTAAAAGTAAATTAAAAATAGAACATAAATATTTCAATAATAATATCTACATCATCAATTGAAAATGGAACGAAAATTATGTAAAAATATCACTGCATTTGATATTCTAATTGACTGAAAATATAAAAGGATAACTAATTGAGATTCTACCATTATATATTTACACCAAAGTAACCCGTTCTGTTGGATTGAAGGTGTTAGCTCTAGACGAAGATGAACAAGATTGTGTTGCCACTACCAATGTCGTCTAGAAAGAGGTTTCAATAATGTGTAAATATAATCGGTGATATTAAGTTTTTTTTTTTAAATGAAAAAATTGTTATATATCTAGACAAAAAAATATATCTTTCATACAAATGAATAAGGATAGCAATTCATTTATATAACTGAGCTATTAGAGAACGAACACATTTGCCTAATTTATGAAAATACTAAACAATGATAAATAAAATCTTCAAAGTTATAGCACCGCATGCGTACATCTAGACATTAGCTATTAATTTGAGCAATTATTTGTACAAATTTAAGAAATGAAATCATCAAAATATATAAACGATCTAAACCATATCTTTAATTGCACTATATAATATTTGATGTTCTAATTTAAATAATTATATATAAATTCATATATTCTTAACAAATTCATTCCGTGCATCGCACGGGTGCAAATACTAGTAAATACATAACAATAATATAGTCTAATATAATCAAGAGTGGAACAACTGCCATATATATATGAGTGAATTCTTTTTTTTTTGGTCTTAGGCTGAGTGACACAGACAATTTTAGTTCTCTATAAAAAAATTTGGACAATTTATAGACATACTTATTGTAAGAGGAAATTTCAGTTTTAGTCATATGGCTATAGGGGTCTTGTTAATTTCAGTTCCTGACTTTTAAAAGTGTCAATTTAGTACCTTAACTATGCAATTTTTGTCAATTTTGGTCACTCCGGTCAAATTGCCGGCCAAATTTCGCCGGAAAATTTTAATTGTTAAAATAATGAGGGTATTCTGGTCATTTCATGTCTCTTTTCTTCTTTTCAGGCGAGTCCATCCCTTCCTCTCTCATTTCTTGCGAATGCAATGAACTAAGTTGATGCGGAAAGGAGACTTGATGATATTAAAGATAGGGTTTACAAGGAGAAAGAACGTACAATATATAGATATTATTGATGATATCTAATATGCTATTAACTAGATCACTAACAGAATGTACATAAATAAATACATAACAATAATATAGTCTAATATAATCAAGAGTGGAACAACTGCCATATATATATGAGTGAATTCTTTTTTTTGGTCTTAGACTTAGAGTGACACGGACAATTTTAGTTCTCTATAAAAAATTTGGACAATTTATAGACATACTTATTGTAAGAGGAAATTTCAGTTTTAGTCATATGACTATAGGGGTCTTGTTAATTTCAGTCCTAACTTTTAAAAGTGTCAATTTAGTACCTTAACTATGCAATTTTTGTCAATTTTGGTCACTCCGGTCAAATTGCCGGCCAAATTTCGCCGGAAAATTTTAATTGTTAAAATAATGAGGGTATTCTGGTCATTTCATGTCTCTTTTCTTCTTTTCAGGCGAGTCCATCCCTTCCTCTCCCGTTTCTTGCGAATGCAATGAACTAAGTTGATGCGGAAAGGAGACTTGATGATATTAAAGATAGGGTTTACAGGGAAAAAGAACGTCGGAAACGGGAGAGAAGGGGATGGACTCGCCGGAGAAGAAGAAAAGAGGCTTGAAATGATCAAAATACCCTCACTATTTTAACTATTAAAATTTTTCGGCGAAATTTGGCCGGAGTGACCAAAATTGACAAAAATTGCATAGTTAAGGTACTAAATTGACACTTTTAAAAGTCAGGGACTGAAATTAACAAGACCCCTATAGTCATATAACTAAAATTGAAATTTCCTCCTTATTGTAACGAGGACAATTTTAGTCCTCCGTCACTCTGTCAGTATTCCCGTTGGATGACCGTTTGAGAGCGGGTATTTGCGTCATTTTATGATCTCTCCTTCTCTTTATTCCATCCCTAGTGTATTTGGGTCCTTGATTCCTGTGCATATTCTTCAACTATCATCTCTCTGTGTGCTGTGAATCAGGCGATTGTGTAGTTGTTCTGTAGTCTGTTTCAGGTACGATTTCTTTTATATAATTGGTTATCAGTCGTGGATGGGTTGAATGCGTTTAGTGAATTCTAGGGTTGGGTGTTTCTGATTTATGTGTTGGAATCTTATTGGAAAATTTGACAGTAATTGCTTGTTTTAAGATTGGATAAGCACAATTTTTTGAATGGATGGTGTTTGTTTAAAGTTCTGTTCTTCCAATTTATTTCCAGCAGTTAAGAGTTTACATCACGTTTTCAACTGAAAAACATAACTGAATTAGGTACATGGGACTACTTTTCTCCACTTTTGCTAGCAATATTCAGCTGTTGAAGCCACTGAATTTGTAATGTTTGTACAGATCAGAAAGTTTAAGAGCTGATTTGTTTTCTTGTGTTTTTGTTTTGGATGTAGAGGTATTTGTTTAAGGATTATATAAGTGTGAGGTTCTTTTCTATTTTGCTTGGCATATACTCATAAAAGATCCAGATTTCCCTTTAAGAGGAAGATGACGATTGAAAACATTACAGCTAACATAGGGAAAGAGGTCAGGAAAGGGCAAGCAGGTTGTGGTACACAATTTAATGAAATGACACAATATAATAGCCAAAGGGGAAGTTTGTTAGTGTTTTATTTATGTAAGAAAAAATCCTAACATATAATTGGCAATATTATTATGGCAAATTAAGATAGGGTTTAACTTGGTGTCTGTTTGTCCTTAGAACAAGCCACTGAAGTTCTGATAAAGGAAAGTTTTCTAAAAAGCTGGGACGCGTTTTCAAGATGACAGTTTTGGAAAGAGTATCAGCGGATCAGCGTGAAAGGTATGGATCGAATCTTAAAGATTTCTTTCTTCACAAAAAGTCCTACCATCTACAATCAGAGATATTTTTGGAGAGTGTTCAAATCAAAGAAGTATATGTATCCTCATTCGTTCGAGAATTAGGGTTGCATTGATTGAAGCCGCAACACTCAATACTAAACAAAATACACATATCTGGTTGTCATGCCTCTTCTCAAGACAATAAGTTCTTGGTGATTATGAAGAAGAACTTGAGAAGTATCAACGTTGCTTAAACGATAGGACGCGAAGATCACTCAGTTGTGGGAACAACGTGGGACTGCGTCATTAAAGCGGACTGCATCAGAGTTAGCTCTCCAATTGAAGGGATTTCATTAGACTTCTGGATGCGTGGCTCTCCGAGTTCAACAATCCACAAAACCTTTGTAGACTGGGTACTGACCTTGTGTGGGGCACTTGGGTGAGATTGTTTTTTCTCTACCTTTGTACATTGGATTATGAGTTAGTGGATTGGACGCCTCGATGATCGTCCCCCATATGTAGATACACACTGTATCGAACTGGGTAAACAAACATATGTGTTGATTTACTTTCTGCCTTAGTCTTCCGCTTTAAATTAATCTGCTTTCTATCTAGATGACTGGTCGATTAAGTATCTGAGTCAGTCAGTCCAGTATTCTGGTTGCTAGAAACTAAATCAATATCCTTATACTGAGAATACGCAAAATTACAAAAGCAATCATGCTCGATATACAACCTCGATTAATCATTCTCATTATGCAATCTCATGCAATACTATACTCAAATGCAATCTCGTGCAATACTATACTCAAATGCAATTTCGTGCAATACTATACTCAAATGCAATCTCGTGCAATACTATACTCAAATGCAATCTCATGCAATACTATAAGTATACTCATACACTCGTTTGTAAAATATAATACTTTCTGTGGAGGTCTCTTGCTTGCTTTCTTTCTTTCTTACTTAGAGTCGCAAGGACTCACTTTCTTTCTTTCTTTTCTTAGAGTCGCAAGGACTCACTTTCTTTCTTTCTTTTCTTAGAGTCGCAATGACTCACTTTCTTTATTAATGGACGAGGTAGGAACTTTACCGTAGTGTGAACGAACCTATCCAGGCATGGCTTCTAGCCGACCTAATACTCTGCTCGTCCACCGAACCACTCTCTTAGTTCTATGCTCAAACTCTGTGGAATCATGTATCGAACTATCAGTGTGCACACCCCTTGACCAGGATTCCAAGCCTGGCGGGCAGTTTTCAACCTCGTAACATGGGAATACACCGCGTTACATATATTGGGTCCACAATGTCCATAAAATTCATCCGAGAGGGCATCGTCCAAACGTGGTCCTCCAAAATCTCACTGATATATATATATATATATATATATATATATATATATATATATATATATATATATATATATATATATATATATATATATATATATATATATATATATATATATATATATATCATGCACCAAACTTATGTATGCCACAACTTAACAATTTCACAATGCCACAAAGTAATGATATACCAAATGCTCATGAGTTTTTGAAAATAGTACTTAGGCTCACGTTAGCCATTTATGCACTTTTGAAACATGATATACTTGGAATGCAAAAATACTGTACAACATGCTCCAAATCCATATATATCACATAGAAATCTCAAGAACACAATATCATGCTCGGTTTGCAATATATCAAACTCTATATATTTTTACCATCAAAATAGATTTCAAATTCCATTGATCATACAACACAATCTATTCATGTTTTTCTAATAAAACTTATTCACAAAGTGATCATGCTTCTCTACTCATTTCACAAATAGCATCAGGAAGATAAAGCAAAGCAATTCCTAATACAGTGAACTCAAACAATTCATACTGTGAAGCAATTCATCACTAAATCCATCATAATATGCTCATTTCTAATCCAAAACCAACGAAATCAAAGCCAAAACGTGCGTCAAGACGGTCCCGAGGTACCGAGCCACAAGGGCCCGTGACACCTGGCCCAAAACGACACGTAGCTGAGCCACAAGGGCCCGACCGCTGCACAGAGATCACTCAGGGACCATGGGGCGGGGCTCATCATGACCCGCCCCCTCAAGCCGTTACATTGCCGGGCCTAGGAAACGGCCCTCTCCTAGGGCCGTGCCCTAGGCCCAGCAGGCCACGGCTCTAGCCAACGGTCCCCTTGATGGGCTGTTGGCTAGGCCGTTACTTCATCTTGTGCACACTGTCTGTGCACCAGATGAACTCTCTTCATCTGCAATTCAATCTCTGCCAACTCCAACTCATCTAAAACATTATCAACACATCATAGATAAGTAATAGATCATTTCATAGCTCAAACACATCAAAATCTAGCATTTCTACTTATTTCTACCTAATAAACAAGGCTTCACAGAGCCAAAATTCAAAGTGGGGGTCCATGGGGTTATACCTTTGTAGATCTCTTCTTCTTGCTTGGATCTCAACCTCCCCTCCACTCAAACTCCACCACTACCTTCACCACCTAGCTCCCCAAACAACAACACAAGCTAACTAAGAGAAGGCTCAGAGAAAAGGCTAAGGGAACAAAACTAGAACAAAGTGAAGAGATGGAAAAATGGAGAAGGAAACTTACTGTGGTTGAGGCTCACTTCTATCAGACAAGGTTTGGAGAGGCAAGGGATTGAGATCAGGGAATCAATGAGGGAATAAGATGGTTTTATAGGGTGCAAAACCCTAGGATGATACTCAATGATTGGTGGAGGGCAAGATGAAAATTTGGTGGTTGTTCTAGAATTATCAGACAAGGAGGAAAAGCCTTTGGTCCACCTTGCAACATGGACCAAGGTCTATAAAGGTGGTTTTAAATAGTTTAGGGGTCAAAATGTATTTTTTCAAAAATAATTTCTAAACAAACACTTGGTTCAGATTTCTCCCGGTCTCACTCAGATTGGTTTCTAAGTTTAAAACTTGGTACACGAAGTACCCAAAAATTTAGGATTTTGGAATTAAAATAAGTTTTGGTGTTGAATTAATTTAAAAATGTAACTGAAAATAATTAATTCAAACACCAATTTATCGCAAAAATTTTTAATGGAGTGAAAATGGCTATTTTGAAATTTCTAAAAATTGGATTTATAAAATTAAATTTTGGGTTGTCACATCGGGTCTCCAAGTGTCTCTCTGCCCGGGACTTTCAATTCATAAACCGAGCGCATCTCGCTATCGTTAGACCACCGGGTCTCTTAGTGTTAAGTCATAGAAAGTTCGATCCCCAAATCGCAAATAAATTCGACCTCCCGGTCGTACCCAGCAACCCGGTCGGTGGACCGGTAAAGTTGACCACTAGATCGCAGGCCGTAGCTAACCCGATCCCCCGATCTTAGCTAGCTTCCCGGCCGCTCGATCAGTAAAGTTTCGACCTCGCGAATCATGTTGCAAAACCGACCCCTAGGTCGGGCAACCCCTTTCTTTAGTCCACTAGACTACGTCTAGCGTTGTGCTCTTTTTTCCTAAGCTAAAAATTTTTCCCACTGGATTTTTATTAGTTTAAGGTTTTTTAACGAGGCAACCGGCGTAAGTCGCGGTCCGTAAGCAGTTTTTCAATCCGAACCCTTCCTCGCTAACTCATCGTCAGGGCATGGACTGGGGGGGCTTCTTGATGGGGAATATACCCCGAGTTCTGGCTCCTCGTACGCTCCGTGCTCCTACTTGGGTCGGGTCAAGGTCAACCCGCCAACCCTTGACCCTATAAATAGGGCCTTGACCCTCCATTTTAGGGGTTCCTTCCCCTCTTCCTCTCTACACTCTACTCTCTCTCTATACACTCTTTCCTCTCCCTTCTCTCTACAAGTATAGAAGAACAATGAATAAAAGAACTCTTGAGCTATATTTCTCTTGTCTATCCTATTGTTCATACATACATGGGAATTACCCGTATCATCTGCCCTCTTCCTCTCTACACTCTACTCTCTCTCTATACACTCTTTCCTCTCCCTTCTCTCTACAAGTATAGAAGAACAATGAATAAAAGAACTCTTGAGCTATATTTCTCTTGTCTATCCTATTGTTCATACATACATGGGAATTACCCGTATCATCTGTTATATCGAGTCGTTGTTGTGTATTGAAATTGATATGAACTGTGCTCTTTATATAGCTTGTAAGGAAGGATTGTATAGATATAGTAATTAATGCTAATTGTTCAGATACCAACGAAACTTAAGTGTAAATAAATAATCTAAACACGGCTAATTACTACAAATGTTTCGAATATCGTTGTTTCTTGATCGAAATTTGAGAAGTCGCAATTAATATACGTAGTCAACGCAGACCATGTTCAATATTTTCTAACCGGCCAAAACGCCGTCATTTTTTGTTGGGTGGAAATTGGAGCCTATTTTTTTCCGAAAGATTTGACTTTGGTATAGCTGTATAGATAAGATTTGGTATAGTTGTAAAGAGCAAGCAAATAATCCTAAGTTTGAACCTCTGGCCCATGCTATCCTATAAAGAATATGTCTACCTAATAAATGTGTAATTTTGATCACTATCAACTTGAATAAAATGTTTACTTAAAGATGAAACACATTTTTAATTTAATATCATACAAATTTAGGCATATCATTTAAGCAGCTACGATCTAACGTAAGGCGTGAGGCAGTGTGCAAGCAGCAGCAATGGCGGAAGAAAGTAGTGAGGTTGAGAGGTTGACGGCACAGTGGGAGGGTTTTGATTTGGAGGATGAGTTTGTGCCGGAGGGAGAAGGGGTTGGCGAACTCCAGGACAACGACGAGGAGACATGGGCTGTTGTTGGCAGGTTCCTAACTACGAAACTGGTCAAATTGGAGTTCATGAAGCAGGTTATGGCATCCGTATGGCAACCGGTGAGGGGGGTGCAGGTTACGGAGATCCAACCAGGACTATTCTTGTTTGTCTTTTATCATAAAACGGACTTAGATTACGTCTTGGATGGGGGTCCATGGGGTTTCGAAAATAATTCTTTGGTATGTCGGGAGGTGGTGGCCGGAGCGGTACCTGGGGAGATGGAATTGAACTCAATTGATATGTGGGTTCAGTTGCATGGAATGCCGATGGGGTATACGTCAGATACGGTTCTTGAGCAGGCTGGAAACTTTATAGGCAAGTTTGTGAAACATGATGAGAGGTTCGCGGGAGCACCGTGGCTTACATTCTACCGGATCCGCGTATCTATTGCGGTAGGAAAGCCGTTGAGGCGTGGCATGAAATTGGTGAAACGAGATAAGTCGGTGAGTTGGATAACTTTTCGGTATGAACGTCTACACAAACATTGTACGTTTTGTGGGATGTTGGGTCATGTTCACATGTTCTGTCTGAAAGCACGTGAGAGGCCGAGTACTACTACCACCACCACCACCACTACTACCACCACTACTACTACCACTACTACGAGTACTACTACTACTACTACTACTACTACTACTACGACTACTACGACTACTACGACTACGACTACGACTACTACTACTACCACTACCACTACGACTACTACGACTACGACTACGACTACTACTACTACTACGAACGACCACCACGAACGACTACTACTACGACTACTACGACTACACTACTACTACTACTACTACTACTACTACTACAACTACTACTACTACGACTACTACCACTACCACCACTACCACCACTACCACCACCACCACCACCACCACCACCACCACCACCACCACCACCACGACCACCACCACTACGACCACCACCACTACTACCACTACTACTACTACTACTACTACGACTACTACTACTACTACTACTACTACTACTACTACTACTACGACTACTACTACTACTACGACTACTACGACTACTACGACTACGACTACGACTACTACTACTACTACTACTACTACGACTACTACTACTACTACTACTACTACTACTACTACTACTACTACCACCACTACTACCACTACTACCACTACCACCACCACCACCACCACTACTACCACCACCACCACCACTACTACCACCACCACCACCACTACCACCACTACTACCACCACCACCACCACCACGACCACCACTACCACCACTACCACCACCACCACCACCACCACCACCACCACCACCACTACCACTACTACTACCACTACTACCACTACCACTACTACTACTACCACTACTACTACCACCACCACCACCACCACCACCACCACCACCACCACTACCACCACTACTACTACCACTACCACCACTACTACCACTACTACTACTACTACTACCACTACTACCACTACTACCACTACTACTACCACTACTACTACTACTACTACTACTACTACCACTACTACTACTACCACTACTACTACTACAAGATAGGGAGAAAATGTGTTATTAATAAACAACTCTCGTTATATTTTTAATTCTTAAGTATTAATAATTATATTCTTAATAGGTAAAAGCCAAAACGGGGATACAAAATCCGACGCGCACTGAAATTGTAAGTGCATTTCTTTACAAGTGCATTGTTTCGGCAGTGAAAACACGAGAAGATTCTGACACCCTCCGACCATCCCAACTCTTCCACTACGCTAACATCCGACCGCTGGCTCTCCCGCAAAGCTTAGCCATAACATCCGCCGGAAACTTACTTTCCACGTTTTCCATATCAACAACACACGATGATGAAATGGACGTGGCGAAGTTAGTAGCCGACTTGAGGGAGAGAAAACAAGGGCTCTATGAGAAAGACATGAACAAAGAAAACGAGTTCTCCTTGGAGATATACGAATCCACGAAAAGGGGAGACAAGCCATACGATGAGGATGGGTTTGATAAGTACTTTCTTAGTAGCATGTGTAATTTCCCATTGTACGATGTGGATTTTGGGTGGGGGAGACCGATGCACGTGAGTGTTCCAATGGGCCCGTTCAAGAACTTCATTCTCTTGTTTGGAAATAAGAGTATGGATGGTGTAGATGCGTGGGTGACAATGGAAGAAGGCCACATGACCGCGCTTGAGCAATATGAAGAGCTAGAAGAGTATGGTTCTATCTAGGTAATCATATTTAGGAACTTGAGAATGGAAGAAGGTCATATCTAGTTGATTATATATAGTTTGCTCTGATATGGTTTTAAATGTTATTGAAATCCATGTTTATTCTATTACATTATGTGTTGAAAATTTATATAGTAATGGAGATTAATGTTTCGGATGTACTATCACGAAAGCTTAAATAATGTTTGGAGTTGTGGAGTTATAAATATTATTTTATTTTGGTGGAAAGTTAATTGGGAAATATGCATTTATCGAAAGGTTGAATATGAATAGATTCCACAAAATGATATTTCCAATGTATTTCATGAACCAAGTGTCACAATAATGTATATCATATGTATTTCCATTCAGTCTATATATAGTAGGTTCATAATGTTCTATATGTTCATAAAAACAAAGCTTAATGTATATGAACATTATATATTGATGTAGTAAATTACTGGGGTTACTACGAATAAGTATAAAGTATGAGACCAGGCCGGGAGGTCTGCTTGTTGGTTTAAGAAGTTGAGCTCAGGAGTATGCGTAAGGTCGGAGGTCGCCTGGCTAATTAAGGCTATAGAGAAGGTGTCAAAAAGTCCCCTTTAATGTTGTTTCGATGGGTATTTATAAGGGATTCAAGAGATCACATGTCGAGGGGGCGGCATGCGTGCCACTTGTCCAAAATGCACTCGGGAATGCGATCGGCTAAGGGGAAGTGCACAAGTGTATGAGTATGTCTTATCAACTATTCTGTTGCGGGAATCAATTCAGGTGCCAAGTATTCGTGCTCGGGGTCTCGGTCGAGCAAATAGGTTGGGACTGATCTCTAGAAGGTGTGGAAAGCAGCCCATTAAGCCATAAAATTGGAAATCTCTCATGTCGGGTCGGTCTAGTGCTACTCTTTGGTCGGAACAAGTCGGGGAATAACCCGGGTCTTGAGGCGGCTCGTACCCTATCAGGCCTTAGGTATGAGGATTGCTGCTGCCCGGGGTATATTCCCTATCTAGTAGCCACCATAGTCCGTGTCCCGAGTTGGGTGAAAGTTGGTTTTAGTGGTGAAGTTTAGTGAGTATCGTTCTCAAGGAATGACTTTAAGGGAATTAAGTAATGAGGGGTTAAGGACGGGTTCATACAATGTTTGAAAGCTAACCATCCAATAGATATTTGAATATTGCATGTTCAATCAATCTATAATGAAAACAAGTGAATTAAAAGATAATAGATGAAAGAGAGAGATTTGAACCAAACAACCATGCATAGAATACCTTGTGTGGTCTAAAGTTTAAATTATGCGATTCCTAATGACAAACTTGGGGAAATGGTATAAGTGCCAACGTTACTCTCATGATCTATTGGACTATCAACTAATCCGAAGTCCCATTCTCATGGCAACTTGGCTAGGTGAGGCAATTTAACAAACACTTTGTGTGCCCATTTCCTTCAAACCCCCTTTTCTCAAAGGTGAGTAAGAAATATGAGAGGTATGGCTATGGTGTAGCCTTATTCTCATAAGTGAAACACCACTTCCAAATGTCCCTTGCATAATTTGGCCATAATTAAGAAAGAGTCAATTCAATTTCATCCAATTCATAACCAAGTTTAACATGAAGGCGATACAAAACCTAATTTATGCAATTCAAGTTACATTGGCATCCATACAATGAAGTTCAATTCAAATCCCTAAATATGTAAAACTACTCATGATTAGAATGTAAAACTAGAAACAATTGAAGTAATAAACATATAATTCAAAACTTCAAGAAATATAAATGCAAAAATATGAAATAGAGAACTTAACTTGATGATTTAATTGAAAGAAATAATCTGGAAATTGATTTGGAATGTGCAATTACAATGGATAATCTTCCTCTAAATCTTCTTGTAGATGATGGATTACAATGTAGAAAGGTTCTAAGATGTTTTGTGGAGAGAAAACCAGAGGGAGAAATCTGAAAACTAAAAAACTAACTATAAAATAACTACTAAAACCTATATATATATATATATATATATATATATATATATATATATATATATATATATATATATATATATATATATATTTTGAAGTTCGCGTCAAACTGCAGTGTACTGGACGAGAAGTCATGGTGCGACTCACGGTGTGAGTCTTAGCATGAGTCTCCTGATCAGAAACTCGGCCATGGACTCATGTTGGCACTCACGGTGTGAGTTTCAGCAAGAGTCCCTCCAAATGACCTTCACGCTATCATTTTGCTCATTCCTTCCCCGGTGTGCCTTCAGGTGTTTCCCTTGTGCTTTTAAGCCTCGTTTTCTCCCAAGATTAGCATCATTTCATACATGCTTGCACCATTACTCAATCTTTTCTTCCTTCAATCAAGATACACCAAATTTGTATTGTTGCACCATTATTTACCTAACATTTGAGCCAAAAGCAAGCATAAATGAGCACAAATATAAGGTTATTTCATAGCATATCATCGGGTTAATGTCACAAGGGGCTCGGACTATAAAATCCGATCGCAGTCTAAGGTTAAGTTACTTCAATCGGGGTGAGATCTAGTGTGGCGCTCGTCTACAATGTGCCACCCAAATCACCGCCCAATCGGAATAGTTTGCCACGTGTTGTTCCGTGGACGACGACCTTGGGATTTGATTTGAAATTCGAAATATTCCGGCCAAACTCGTCTATAAATAGGACATAGGGGAGAAACATAATCATGCTTTCGCTTGAAGAATTCTCAAAGCTTCCCGAGCTAAGTGGAAAAGACGTTCTCGGTCAAATACAAGTAGCTCAACTCGGACGCTTCAGATCGACTTTCTCGGTAAGCTTCTTCCTTTTAATTTCTTGTTATTTAAAATTATATTTTTAGGTTTTTTGTCATTCTCGGTCTTTAGGCATTAATAATGTGCTCGACTAACTACCCGATTGCTAACATATCTTCCCCTGTCTTCCTTCTTGAAGGAAGGGGTACAATGAGCGACTTAGTTAACCAGAATATCTCAGTCGGGAACTACAACACTATGGTCGAAGTGGATTCCTTCTAGTTGTCCTCGTACGACACCATCATTGCTGAGGTTGAGAAGTTTTCAGAAGCCTGGGGTGAGTCACCGAGCGAAGCTGCCGACCAACCATCTGAGGAGCCTACCACCACTGGCCCTTCTCAACCCGAGGAAGCAAGCCCTTCGATTCAGATAACTTCTAACCCTTATTCTCTGCCGACCCCCTCTGAATCCCGACCTTCTTCAGGCTACCCTCCCCAATTCCAAGCCCCAACTCTCGCGAGCGGGCAACATAAATTCCTTAATTTTGAGCAAGTAGAAAACTACCAGCCCCTCTTGGTCGGGTTAAGTACGACGCACGTCATAACCTCGGGTTAATAATAAACCGACAATAAGGGGATTGGATAGGGTTGCATCTTGACTCACTAAAAGCCCCGATCTCTCTGATCTCTCGTTTACCCCATTTCTTTCAGCCTTCCTTCGGCACTACGGTGTCCTACCCAGGTAGATCTGCCTGAATTCCCATCTTATAATTGCTTGTTTCCCTCAAATTTGCGCTTGGCACCAAATTCTGTGCACCCTCGAACTTTTTCGATTCTTATTCTCGCTCTGAGCGCTTCTACCAAAATATGGCGGGGGATTCTTGATGATCAAGGCCAAAGTCCCGACTTGCACCATCATCAACTTGCTCGACAACAACAAATTAAAGGGTGGAAACACCGCATTTTTTGCTCAAATATAAATGTCGTCTCCTGGTCTCGAACACATAGAGCTTGCAGTTTAGGAAACACGTCTTCCCGGAACTGACTGCAACCTTGACTGCTCATGCCGAGATGATTTCAAGCGAATTTTATAACTACCGGGTGTTCCATACACCCGAGGACTATGCATCGGCTAACCTCCAAGAGCCTCAGTACGATCTATAGAAGAAGTACATACCCGAGACGAAGGAGGTTAACATAGCCGTTTCCTTCACTACACTCGACCCGATCTCAGGAGGTTTTTCCCCATAGATTTTTTCACTTCGATTTCAATCTAGTTTACAACTGTTACTATTCTCTAACTCTACTGGGCAGCTTTGCAGATATGGGCTTAGAGGAATCCTTTGAGGCTGCTACTACAACTTCTCGAGCCCCCCGAGCTAAGATCATTCTTGGGACAAAGAATACTCACACCCCTGAGGTCATCCCGACCGGTCTTCCACTGACCACGGTCGTCCCGACCGATCGCCTCGCTGGCAAAGCTTACTCGAAGAGTAGTAAGAAGCCGACAACGGAATCAGGACAAGAGACTCGGACCAAAAGGGCGAAAAAAATGTGATCTCCCAACCGCAACCCAATAATCGATGCCCTGCTGTCGGGCAGTCCACTGGCTGCTCTTATAGACCGGATAACCTTGGTCGTGCCGTCTGCCGAAGACATGGACGAGTGGACTACTAACAAGCTTGAGGAACGAGGAGCCTGGGACTTCATACAAGTATGACTCTCAATTTTCTTTTCCATAAACCATTTTATGTTACGACTAACCTGACCGAGTATAAAAAGATGGGTTGCACCTTGGTGAACTTAGTTACCCGGGCAAAGGTTGTCGAGACTCTCTACCACACGGACATGGATGATGCCAAGAAGTCCATTGCCTGTTGGGATATCAAAATTCGAGACAAAAGTCGCTCATGATAGCTGAGAAGAGGGTTAGGGAAGCCGAGCAAAAGATTATTTTTTTGGCAGTCACCGACTATAAGGCACACAGGACGACTAACGGAATCTAAGACTATCTAGACCGGATTCAGGGGATCCAACTAGCGCACTCCAAGCTACTAATCTGTACCTGAAAAACATACGGTGTAACAACCGTCAGCGAATAATGCTGGTAACCCACTCCAACGCGTTAAGTACAATATAGGTAGATATAAGAAATCATTTTGAAATTGGAATATATATATATATATATATATATATATATATATATATATATATATATATATATATATATATATATATATATATATATATACTTACGAGACTCTAATTTAAATCCAAGATCAAGATTCAAGACACAACAATAGACCCAACAATATAGGATAATCATAAAGGCTAGCATGCGTCCTAAGAACACGTTACAAGACATAACAGACAGATAAGCATATAAATAGCAAGTAGAGACAACAAAGGCATTCAAGACAATCAGTTAGCAAGTAATCATCAAAGCACACAATCCATCTTCCAACCTTATACCAAGTTCCAACCTTGTAGCTCCCCTCCGTCCTTATATCAGTTCCAACCTATACCTCCAGGCCACCCTTATATCGTCTCCCTTATTCCTCCGGGCAACTACATGCCCCCACCGACAAACCACCTTTCATCCACCAACATATAAAGATAGCGCCGCAGTGTCACTCACATGATCCGTACCTCTAGTGCCAATACCAAAGGGTCAGCGCAACACTTTCAGAATCGATGAACTATAATTCCAGAATTATAGTTCATCGATTCTGAAATTAATTAGTAAGAAGCAAGGCTCTAACAAGACTCAATCACAGAATCATACATATGATTATCAAATGAGCCAATGAATAAGATATAGTAAGGAAAATAAGTTTTGTAAGACATGAGTTACCTCATTCGCTTATCAATCCTAAATAACGTCAACGAGACCTAAGAATCAATATTGAGCCTTCACTAAATAATCGAGCTAATAAAATAATTAAACCCTAAGGGATTTAAACCCTAGATTTCCCCCAACACTAAACATGTCCTACCCAACTAACTAAACATCCTTTGTTAATCTAACGTGTAATCAAATCCTTAATTAAGCCATCACCCAGGTTCATAAGATAGATCTATATTAATTAAAAGCTAATCAACTAAAACCTAACTATTTTAGCTAGTGTGGGAATCGAGCTCTCATTAAACCTAAGGCTAAACACTGTATTACCACTGTGCTACGTTACCTATTGTTAACCATAGCAATAACTAGCATACTTATTATGTATCACGGCCAAGGTATAACCTACCTCATCTTCTTCCTCACCGCCATGCAGTGCGTGCTGTTTCACGCCACCATCCTGCCGGAGCCACTACTACCAACCGGAACCACCGTTGGCTACTACCGAGGCCACCACTGTAGCCTGGAGAGTCATCCGTCACTGCCGTCGAGTTCCGCCGTTCTCGCCGGAGGGGGTGGAGATCGAAGAGAAATACGCAGTACCCGCCGGTGCTACTTCCTTGGCGTGTTGCTGATGTTTTACGTCTTGCTGCCGGAGCTTCTCCCCTTTGGCCGGAAGGAAGAAGATTGGAGAGGTGAGGGGTGTTTGGTTTGTTCGTGTTCAAGAAGGGAGGTCTCTACGATATATATATATATATATATATATATATATATATATATATATATATATATATATATATATATATATATATATATATATATATATATATATATATATATATATATATATATATATATATATATATATATATATATATATATATATATACTAGTTTTTTACGCGCATTGCGCGATTAATAATGCCCAATGTTTATATTTTTATGAAGTACTTTAAGTACTTTAAGTATATCAATGCAAGATTATAATATTGTTTGATGAGATTCCGACATTAGGATATGTGGTTAAGTTCTATTAAGACTTTAATATTAGAATTAGATTAATGGTGTAGTTATAATTCTATATTAGACTTTAATATTAGAATTAGACTAACGGTGAATTAACCAAAAAGTTAAATGGATAATCATATAATTAAGGATAAATTAGAAAATCTTAAAAGAAAAAAATTAAAACCTGAACAATATGAACCATTCATTTGATTTAATAATTTTGCGGTCATTTTTTCTACCCAATGTTAATAATTAAATAAATTCGCTGATCAAATCCGCTAACCCTAACTGTTAACTGCTGATTGTCAAACAAGGACATTGCGAGGTAGTTCTCGCTTCAATTTGTTGTGTGATTTGAATACTCTCTTTGTCACAAAATCTTTCAAGTAGTTAATATAGTTGACTTTATTAATTATATTTTTTTTTTTAATTTTTTCATGGTATTAATAAAATACTTGGTAAATAAATATATAGCATTATTTTGTATTATAACTTTGATATTTAATTAGAAAAATAGTGCACAAAAAAGATAATAGATAATGTAGTGAATATAATCAATTGATGAATTTGAATGTAAAAATTTTTACATTTGAGAAAAATTAAGACAATATAACTAATGAAAATATTTCTTTTAATTAATTTATTGATAATTAATAATTTTTTTTTCACTGAATAAAGACATTGTAAGGACAATGTAGCGAATATAATCAATTAATAAATTTGAATATAAAGAATTTTTATATTGAAGAAAAATAAAGACAATATAACTAATAAAATTATTTCTCTTATTTAATTTATTGATAATGAATAATTTTTTTTTGAATAAAGGCATTGTGGACACATAATTCTAAATTAAAGAAATGCATATGTATTATTTTTTGTTGTAACTACTAAATTATTATTTATATAATTTAATAAGAGTAAAATAAAGTACTAATTATGCCAACTTTGATTGGGATGGGGTTCGAACCTAAGACTTTTTTTATTGAAATCAATGAGTAAGTTAAGGTGAACTAACGACAATTCTTAAAATTTTAACGGAATTAGTAACGGTGTGTGGGTATTTTAGGAAATTTTAGTGTAAAATTTAAATCTGATCAATCTTTTAATCAATCTGAGCCATTCATTTGATTAAAATCTGTGACCGCCATTTTTTCTACCCATTATAGGCCTAACTCTCTTGGGCTCTTATTAGTATATAGTATAGTATATATATATATATATATATATATATATATATATATATATATATATATATATATACTAGTTTTTTACGTGCATTGCGCGATTGAGATAAAGGCCAATGTTTTTTTTTTTTTAAATAAGTACTTTAAAGTATATCAAGGCAAGATTATATTGGAATTGTTCATGTATAGATAATTGAATGTTGAATTTGCGTATTTAAATAGGTAATTCTAAGTTTACAAACGCAAGATAATATAGTCAAGATTGATTATAATTATCAATAAAATAATTGTATAGGCATGGTTGAAACCAAATACGGGACATAAGGGAGAGCAAATAAAAATTAGGGCAAAAAATATTAAATATATACTAATATTGAAGAGCTAACTGCTGATTGCCAAACAAGGACATTGCGAGGTAGTTTCCCATTTCAATTTGTTGTGTGATTTGAATACCCTTTTGTCATTAAATTCCCAAAGTAGTTAATATGATTGGCTTAATTATATTTTTTTTATTTTTCTAAAACTATTATTATTATTATTATTATTATTATTATTATTATTATTATTATTGTTGTTGTTGTTGTTGTTGTTGTTGTTGTTGTTGCTGCTGTTGTTGTTATTGTTGTTGTTAATCTAAACATCTAATTTTTTCAAATATCTTTTTACCAACCGTTGATATATTTCGCTAGTCAAATTCGCTAATATAATCCGCTAACGCTAACCGATAACTGCTGATTGTCAAACAAGGACATTGAAAGATAGTTCTCACTTCAATTTGTTGTGTGATTTGAATACTCTCTTTGTCAACAAATTCCTCAAGTAGTTAACATGATTGGCTTTATTAATTATATTTTTTAAATTTTTTTATGGTATTAATAAAATACTTGGTAAATAAATATATAGCCTTATTTTGTATTATAACTTTGATATTTAATTAAAAAAATAGTGCACAAAAAAGATAATAGACAATGTAGAATATAATCAATTGATGAATTTGAATATAAAGAATTTTTACATTAGAGAAAAATAAAGACAATATAACTAATAAAATTATTTCTCTTAATTAATTTATTGATAATGAATAATTTTTTTTAATAAAGACATTGTAGGGACAATGTAGCGAATATAATCAATTGATGAATTTTTTTCTTATTTAATTTATTGATAATGAATAATTTATTTTTTGAATAAAGACATTGTAGACACATAATTCTAAATTAAAGAAATGCATATGTATTTTTTTTTTTTTTGGTTGTAGCTACTAAATTATTATTATAATTTAATAAGAGTAAAATAGATTACTAATTATGTCAACTTTGATTGGGATGAGGTTCAAACTTAAGATCTTTCTTATTAAAATCAATGAGTAAGTTAACAGTGAACTAACAGGAATTAACGGAAAAGTTAATATTTAACGGAAAAGTTAACGGATAATCATATTCATTAAAGATAAATTAGGAAATCTTAAGAAAAAATTAAAATCCGATCAATCTGAGCCATTCATTTGATTAAAAAACTTGACCGCCATTTTTTCTACCCATTATAGGCCTAACTCTCTTAGGCTCTTATTAGTATAGTATAGTATAGTATATATATATATATATATATATATATATATATATATATATATATATATATATATATATATATATATATATATATATATATATATATATATATACGCACACACACACACACACACACACACTTAGGCATACGATCATGAGTAGTTATGTTGTGCATCCGTATGCACCATGCATGGTGCATACGGATGCAAAAACGACGTCGTTTTAGTAAAAACGCGCGTCTCCCCTTAAAAAAAAAAAATTCCAGGTTTGATTCCCAGCAACAGCATTATGTTGTTTATTCATTCTGGAATTTTAGTTCATAGATTATGGAATTTTAGTTCATGGATTTTGGAATTATAGTTCATGGATTCTTGAATTATAGTTCATCGATTCTGAAATTGTAGTTCATCGATTCTGGAATTTTAGTTCATTCATTCTGGAATTTTTAGTTCATAGATTAGATTATGGAATTATAGTTCATCGATTATGGAATTATAGTACATCGATTATGGAATTTTAGTTCATCGATTATGGAATTTTAGTTCATGGATTCTGGAATTATAGTTCATCGATTCTGAAATTGTAGTTCATCGATTCTGGAATTTTAGTTCATTCATTCTGAAATTTTTAGTTCATAGATTAGATTATGAAATTATAGTTCATCGATTATGGAATTATAGTTCATCGATTATGGAATTATAGTTCATATGTTTGCTGATAATCAAACCTGAATTTTTTGTTTTAAAGGGAGACGCGCGTTTTTAATAAAACGATGTCGTTTTTGCATCGCTATGCACCATGCATGGTGCATACGGATGCACAGCATAATTTGCCTACGATCATAGGAATCCATTTATATAACTAGCAGGTCATATAATTAGTAGGGTAGTAATATCATTACCAATTGGGTTAGGAATAGCATTTGGGTTTGGGCTCGGACTACCTAATACTTATTGGGCATATGTGATATATATATATATATATATATATATATATATATATATATATATATATATATATAGGCTTCGAATCCGGTGCACACCCCATGACACATGGGCACATGAGAACTCTTTATATCCATTGATTACATTTCCATGAATGGTTAAGATTAGATGAAATTTTGTAAGAAATTAAGGATATTTAGTAATCACAAGGATCAAAATGTAATTGTATTTAGTTGCTTAATTATGGACATTATATTAATGGAATCTTAAGCATGATATTAGGGATGATATTATAGGTAAATTAAATGTGCATAGGCCGGGTAAGAAATAAAACGGGTGAGGAAGTGTGAGAGAGCAGAGTAATCGGCGGAGGAGGGTCATACGAAGCGCAAACTGCAGTCAAGAATTCAGGCAGCAGAGGTATGTGCGAAATCGTAAATTGGTATGTGCGTATATGCATGGTAGTTTGGTTTATATATAATTGTTGTTGGTCGGATGGAGAATAATTTGGGAGTGTTAGGCGGCATAGTTAAGAACATTGTATGACGGGTTGAGGTTGATTAAGCAGGTGCACAAAGCTGTGTATTTCTTTAATCGGATAGGGTAGTAGGATGGTGAACAGGTTGTGTGCGGGTTGGTATTACAGTCTGTGCGTAACAAGGATACGTTAAACAAATGTAATGATTGGGAGACGTTAAAGAGTTTAATGAGTGAGTAATAGTGTTTTGGCAGGCAAATTATGACCACGTGTTTTTATCATTTCTTCTCCTCTATATTCCCCATAGTCTCCACTCCTACGTTACATTCCACTTCACGCGCGTTATTCCTTCACAAAATTAATCTTTGTGACAGTTCGAAGTTGGTATACAGTCTGTGCGGGTAGTAGGTCTAGCGCAAGGAGACAGTTCGAAGTTGGATCCGATTCGAAAAACACTAGAGGAGTTCGAAGCAATATGGTCCGAGACCGGTGGAGAACGAGGGGGTACAGATAAAGGCAAACAAGTGATTATGGAGTCATACTGTGGCGTCCCACAACCTGAGGAAGTCAATGTGCACCCACCACCCGTTTCAAGCAATAAAGGGTCGGGAAAACGAATGAGGACTGCTAAAGAGATAGCAATGAGGGAGCAAAGTAAGAAGAAACGAACATGCAAGACCTGTGGACTAGCAACCGGCCACAACAGTAGGAGTTGTCCACAAAAATAAAAACGGTAATACACTTGAAAAAACTAGTCAGAGCGTTACTATTTAATTCGAACTATTCAATTTGGACCACTGGATCATGTATTGAATTCTTCCCATTACATTTTGAAGTTTTTTTTAAGAATACAGCATGCATGTGCGTGAAATAGTATACAGCACAAGCGTAAAGCTTTACGAGTTTACACGTGATTTGAGATGACATTGGACATACTAACAAAGCCAACCCCTACGCGCACAGCCCGATATGATACAATGCACAGGGGTCGTACTACGTTGATAATAATGGAAATGGGAATAATTTGGTATTATTATCGAACAATTTAAGCTTAGGAGATGTCTTGACACTATAGAGTTATTTGTCGAGTACTTCCAGTATGCATGTGGGTGAAACACTCTACAGCACGAGCGTTCTACGAATGAGGGGGCCTTGGGAAGACTAAATGAATAAAGGCGAATAAAGCGATGAGATTAAAAACTGGGTTAGTTGGTGCATAGCTACACTTGAATAGAGATTACATGGTATGTTCTGTGCAAGGTGACATGGACTGTGCAATGCAAGGTGACATGGGCAGATGAAAACATGGCTCAGAAATTATTACCATGACGCACAAACCGTTTTGATGAGCCACCATTACGCACGGACCGTTACCATGACACGCACTTAGTGAGTGACCATTACACACAGACATACAAATTTAATCCACAAACATGAGCAAAGAAGCTAAACAAGCAGATAATTTTTATAGCATTCCGATTGTAAAGTGTGTGCCTGGCTTAGTTGAACTAAAGCTAGACCCTGTCTGACAACCATGAAAGAACAAACATTCAAAAAATGAAAGGGACACAACAGAAACCACATACCATTACTTAAATCCGGGTTACAAGTGTAAAACGCAATGTTGGCGTGTAAAACAGAAACAAACAAAATCTCCAAGGAAAAAAATAAGAGCATAAATAACATTATTAAATGTGGTTGACAATGTTAAAAAAAATCGAATAAAATCATGGCTTGCCACGGACCACTGCAATGGATCGCATAACACAGTTAACATTTGAGTGGCGATAAGTGTTGCCTTCAAACATCAATATATCATATACGAACCGGACCCGTAGAGCTTGCACCGCATGTGCATCGCCCCTCCGAAGACCACAGTCCCATGAAGCATATGACTTGCCAATACAACACTCCATGTGACGCATCACAAACACGCCACAATCAATTTTGTTCGTCACATCACGCCATGAAAAGCGAACCCTATGAGGAATTAACTCTGTGACCTTCATAAACAACTCAGTTACCCCAACATCTTTAAAGAAAACGGTCAGCAAATCGTGCTGCAAAAATCACAACAAGTTAAACAAGCATATACGAATACAGATGAATCTATAATTATTGACCCAAACATACCAGCACAGTGGGAACGTGCTCATATTTATCGAGCGAAAGATTACCAGCTGATGAATTATCAACTACATCAAACCGCATGCGCCTGAGATCCAACAACACACAAATTACCCCTGTCAATCCCATCCCCCCTCCCCATAATGAACCCAACAATTGAAAGCCAAACACCTGGTATGCACGTACCAAATTTATAAAACGCACACATTATAAAGACAAAAGGAAAACCAATGAACACCCGAATAACAAAAGAACGAAACCCAAGAAAGGCAGATGCAATTACCAACTACCATTTACGCACAGACCAAACCATATTATCGACCAAGACCCAACAACAACACAAATAACCCCCATTCCCCCCCCCCCCCCCCCATTCCATGGACGCACAGACTAACTTCGTAATACGCACACATGATTACTACATAATGAAAACCAATTAACACCCAGCATGCACAGAGTGAGATACGCACACGCACAAACATGGAATTGGTGCCCAATAACGAACAACTATATTCAAAAAAACCACATGCAAAACATAATACACAATTTAAACGTGTTCATAAACAACATAAAAAAAAAAAAAAAAAAAAAACAATCCGAGCAATATAATAAAACAAACAAATAACGCCGTAATGGAAAGACGACAAAATGAGTTCACACCCAAACCGATTACAACTACGCATTGACCATCAAACCACCAAATTAAACCTAACCCGATTTCACTAACATCATGGTGGGCTAGCAGTCACTGCACACACAATAATGCACCACACGCACAGACCAGAACTGAGACCCAACCCCCCAAAACAGTAAATATAATTAGAAATTGAAAACAATACCTTAACTGGAGCAATAGGATCCGGAACATATGCCCCAACCACCTGACAACGACCAAAACCGCCGTCCCTGAACTCAGAAAGTTGTCTTTCCTTTAGAAGACGTGTAGTCCATCCTCGCAAACCTGGCATCGCCCGGGGCACAACTCTCTCCCCATGGGAGACCCTATCCAAATAAAGCAAATGGAAACCACACACACACAAGTATTAAAAAGCATCAACAAGAATGGGAAAACGAATAACAGAAAATAACAAACATAAAAAATTCGTACCAACAGAAACAAATAAGGACTAGAAAAGGGCTGATTCTGCTTCACAAACCATTTCTCGTGACTTTCAACCAAGCACTCAATCACAAACTTACACCAGTTTAGGTTCCTAATCTCATCCACGTCCTCAAAATGGTGGTACACATGCTGATTAGCGTACCCATTCATCATAGGGCCCGCCAAAGTACTAATAGCCAACATAGCGAAGTGCCTCCGAAACCAAACATCACCCTCGAGATTTCCCCTCAACTCCGTAGCAATCATCGGTAGTGTAACATCATGATTGGTCCTGTCAAACTTCGACCGCCAATCCTTCAAAGAGTCGCTCACATCATCTTTCGCCCTTTTATAAATCACAGTCTCGCCAGCCGGCAGTCCCAAGATGGAATGAACATCAACCTCCGACACCTTTACCGCCCCCCATCCTCAAGACGCAAACACATATCCTTGGGATCAAAATTGACAAGCAACCACCTGGCTAAAGACTTCGGGATGTCTTGCACTTGCAGATTCAACAACTCCCCCAAACCCATCTCCACGACCGCCTTCCTTTGGCAAGCACTAAACCTCTTCATAGGTTTAACCAGATGCCTTGGAGTAGCACGAATCTTCAAGGGGGGGGGGGGGGGGAATTGTCTCATCAACTTCATCGGCTAGCTCGGTCGACCTTTCAGAATCCACGGATGGTTGAGCGGGCTGCGGAGGCACTTGGGCAACTTCAGGCGGCAGCAAAGGTGCCACCCCATCGGCAACAACATCTGGCTCCCCAACAGCAGCACCTACAGGCTCCTCCACAAAATCACCTAGAGGACAGTAAAAATTAAACACCGGACACAAACAAAAAATAACCAACAAAAAAAATTAAACACGAATGCATATAAATGCACACAGCAATGGATACGTACGAATATACCGGGGACCAAACATTTGAAATTTGTAAAAGGATAACTAAACAACCAACAACGCAAAGCAGTGACTACAAAATAACCATAATACCATACATGCATACAGTGATACACTTTTAAGCACAGACAATGAACACATAATTTCGAAAGGCCCATACCACCCACCCCTTTTACACCCCACGCACACAATGAGACACATGTACGCATTGACTGAAAACCAAACATCCCATCCTAAACGTAAACATACATGACCTAAAAAACAATCTTAACCAAGCACCACAAAAAAAAAAAACGAACCAACACCACCTTGTTCACACACCACGCATACAACGAGACACATGTACGCATAGACTGGAACCCATAACAACAAACTTCAAATAGCAACCAACAAAACAAACAAATAACATATCACGCACAGAGCAAGCATACCGACGCACTGACCATGAACCCACCTACTATACCCCTAACGAAACATACAAAAGGCAACAAAACACCCAATATATACAAATAATAAGTGCAATCAACTTGCAAGCACACAGAAACACCCCAAATACGCACAAACTACCCCACCAAGCTCCGGCATCCCCAAAAAGGTACGGGTAAAAAAAAAACACAAGAAAAACGCAGTCAAGACACAAAACCAAACAAAAAAACACTTTTGCAATCAAAATAAACAAAACAAGAAATTATAAAATACAAACAACAAATAAACGCAACCCCACCAAATACCCACTGCCATTGAAACTAAAATGTGGAAAAAAAAACGCAAAAAATACAAATAAAAAACCAAAAACACTACTAACAAACCAAAAATCAAAAACCACCCAAACCAAACACGCTACACCAACCGGAAAAAGCACCAAAACCCCTACCATCCATATATTTTTAAAACCCCGAACCCAGACCAGTCCAAACCAAACCCAAGCAATAAGGAAAAAAAAAACAAAAAAGGACCTGGCAACATTGTATAACACAAATCCCTAACATGCAGAAGTTATCTATCCCCCGCACCCACAACTCTCCAAACCACACCCCCGCCATTCACAAAAAAAAAAAATAAAAATAAAAATAAAAATAAAAAAAATAAATAAAAACCCCTAACCCAAAAAATCGGAGAACACCACATATCACACCCCCTCCCCCTTCCACACCCCCTCACCAACAAACAGAACAAAAACAGACAATCCACACCAAAACATCACTGAAACGCCCTAAACAATTCGCCAAAACGAACAGCAAACCAAAACACACCAAAACCCTAAATTGGAAACACTCACCGCACAAATGGTAACCCACAAACCCCCCGCGGAAAACCAAAAAAAAAAAAAAAAAAAAAACAAAGCTCAAACGAAAAACAAACAAAGTGGAGGAAGAATACCGGAACTTGATGCGGAGGACATACCGCTAAGCCGCTTGGATTGTCTCCTGCGAGACCCAGCCATGGCTACCAGTCGAAGGAAAAGCGCGGAGAGAAGAAACGACGAAGCCCGGCGGAGAGACGAAGCGTCTACGAGAAGCGAAGAGGATTGAAAATTGACTGCGGAGAGAGAGAGAGAATAAACCCCAATTTTATCATCACACACATGCACCAAAGCGGGCGGATATAAATGCCTGTCATAATCAATAATAATACCAAATTACACAAACGCCCCTGTCCAATAAACACAACCAGCGCACGTGGATTAAAATTGCATACCATCTGGACCGTCCAAGATACCAAATCAACGATTATAAAGGGTTCTCATGTGCCCGGCTAAATGGGGGGTGTGCACCTGATTCAAAATCTATATATATATATATATATATATATATATATATATATATATATATATATATATATATGGACGCACTCAGGTGCGAATAAGTGCCCAGGAAGGAAATGCGAACGAATCAGCGCGCGACACGTGTCCAGATCTAATAACTTAAAAAAAAATACGGTGGCATTTTCGTAAATAATTAAACATCGAAGTCATATCTTATAAGTGCACCTATTTTCACCTATAAGTGCATGTAATTTTGCCTTGTTAGCATTCACTTTCCGCAACCATTCATGCACCTGGGTGTGCTTATAACTATCTGTGCAACTATTTATAACTATTGGTGCAACTACTTATAACTATAGGTGCACCTACTTTCACCTATAAGTGCATGTAATTTTGCCTTGTTAACATTCATTGATCTGAGTTCAGCGGGTAGTAATACTCCTGAAAACCACTCGCAAACATTCATACACCTAGATGCAACTACTTATACCTATGTGTGCAACTACTTAGAACTATAGGTGCAACTACTTAGAACTATAAGTGCAACTAAGTATTGATGCTCAGTGTAAATTTTTAATTGCACCTATAATACATTTTACATGCACTTGTAATACATTTTACTTGCACTTCGATGTTCAATTATTTACGAAAATGCCACCGCGTTTTTTAAAAAAATCAGTGTTTTTCATCCATTAGATCTGGACACCTGGACGAACAGAATCCATTCCTATTTCTCACCTGGGCGAGCCGTTCGCACCCGAGTGCAAGTCTATATATATATATATATATATATATATATATATATATATATATATATATATATATATATATATATATATATATATATATATATATATATATATATATATATAATCGCACTCAGGTGCGAATGCTTCGCCCAGGCGCGAAATAGGAATGAATTTTGTTCATCCACGTGTCAAATCTAATGGATGAGAAACACTGATTTTTTTAAAAAAGCACAGTGGCATTTTCGTAAATAATAGAACATCGATGTGCAAGTAAAATGTATTACATGTGCATGTAAAATGTATTATAGGTGCAAGTAAAAATTTACACTGAGCATCAATACTAAGTGCACCTATAGTTATAAGTAGTTGCACCTATAATTCTTAGTAGTTGCACACATAGTTATAAGTAGTTGTACCTAGGTGCATGGATGTTTGCGAGTGGTTTTCAGGGGTATTACTACCCGCTGAACTCAGATCAATGAATGTTAATAAGGCAAAATTACATGCACTTATAGGTGAAAGTAGGTGCACCTATAGTTATAAGTAGTTGCACCTATAGTTATAAGTAGTTGCACCTATAGTTATAAATAGTTGCACAGATAGTTATAAGCACACCCAGGTGCATGAATGGTTGCGGAAAGTGAATGCTAACAAGGCAAAATTACATGCAATTATAGGTAAAAATAGGTGCACTTGTAAGTAATTTTACTTGCACTTCGATGTTCACTTATTTATGAAAATGTCACCGCATTTTTTTAAGTTATTAGATCTGGATACGTGTCACGCGCTGATTCGTTCGCATATTCCTTCCTGAGCACTTATTCGCACATGAGTGCATCCCTATATATATATATATATATATATATATATATATATATATATATATATATAAACATAATTAATTATAAATACATAGCTCTATTTGGGAAATATTTATATTGAATATAAATATTTACGGGGTATCACATATTTGCTTCTCGATGCCTTTGTCTATCTCGGCTAGTTCCACCCCCTCCCCGCCTATCTGATGGTCGGGGCGATTTGACTTCTCCCTCAGTTTGAGTCTCTAGGGCTCGGGGTGGTCGAGTGTTCGGCCCATCGCGCTGCCTCAAGGCAGGCGGAGTGGAAGCCGGCGCCCCTAGAGAGATCTCGGGGGTGAGCGGGGGTGCTCGGTCACTTCCTTGGAGCCCCTCCACAAGGTCAGTCAATGTAGCGGCGACTTGCTAGATGGTGGCCACCCCCTCCTGGAAGCACGGGGCCGGAGGGGGAGCGGTAGGAGTCGACCCGTCGTTGTGGTTGTTGGTGAGACGATCCCTTAGGTCTCCTGCCGACTTCACGGAAACGGTTCGTTGTTGACTAGCGGTACCGTTGAGAGCGTCCCGGTCTAGACTAAATTTGAAATTGCCACCAAAGACAATGGGCCTCTAGTAGAATAATTAGTATATTGAAAATTCATTTTTTTTAGTGTATTACTTAAAAAATGAACATTCACTATATTAAAAATGAATATTCAGTATACTAAAAATGAACATTTATCAATTGTTACATTGCAATTTAGATCATGGTCCATAGTACAATATAATTTGCCCACTGTCGTATTGACACCTAGTGGTTTATTTGACAATTTTTCTTCTTTTTTTAATGGTGTGTCATATTATATTTCACCCGGCCCCTAATATATAACACTTAAATATTGACCATGTGTCAAATATTTTATATTATCTAATAAAATAGTATAATTGGACGGCGCAGGTCAGATGAAACTTTTTCCGTTTGACAGAGTGTCTAATATATAAAATGGTCAGATAAAATAGTTAAGTAATAACATGTGATCCACAACTGTATTTCTTAATCAATCTGGCCATACCAGGTTAAAAGAAAAAACAAAGAAGAAGAAAAAAAAAAGAGTAAAAATTAACGATAAATGTAATGTTACAACTCTACAAGCATGTCTGAACGATAAGAAACTTCCCCCAACCAACTATCCCATTCCCATTATTGACTATCGCTCATTGTTCCCACCTTTTACATTTTAATCCCTTGGTGGAGATCAGGAGAAAGTGTATGTACTTTAACAAGAACGAAGGTGAGAGTACCGCATGCTCCATTTCATTGTATATTCTCAGTTTATCAAAACAAAAGAGATATCTGGGGTGTATGATTGAGTAAAAGTTACTCATCTATCTTTACCTAAAAGTTAAGGGATTAATCATTCACCTTGTGTAAATCTTCAGGTCAGCTATCCCACACTTGAGGTGCATACAATTCAACCAGGAGATTAGTGACACGCAATTAATATGGCAGCATTTACTGAGGTATCATTGTTGTTGTTTATGCTACAAGTGATTAGCAGCTGGTGCATATTTCAGCAAGCAAGAGCCAAAGGGTTGGCAATGCCGGGTTGCCAAGAAAAATGCGGTAACTTGACAATTTCTTACCCATTTGGCATCGGAAAGCCTGGGTGCTATCTAGATGAACCATTTCGAGTGAACTGCAACAGTTCTACCCAAATTGCAACCCTGCCATATTTTATAAATGTGACCATTTATAACATCTCATCCGACAGTATAACTGTCATGGCCTATGGGTCGCCGGTGGTCTACAACATGTCCTCTGGAAAAAACCTGGAAAAAGGTGATGTTGATACCATTGGCTACGAATTGTTACAGCCTCATTTCAGTATCTCTCACACCAAGAATAAGTTCGTGGCAATAGGGTGACGGGTGTGATATATTTTCATTCTTGAAGGATTTCAGAACCGGAAGGATCATAACTGGGTGTGCATCATTTTGTGTAAATAAAGGCAGGATAGAAAGCCAACCCAATTTCTCATCATGTTCTGGCTATGGTTGCTGTCAAACACCCATTGAAACAAAGCTTGGCGATTACTTTGTGTCTGGAGCGCACACCATGAACACAGATAACTCTACTTGGTCTAGAAATCAGTGTAACTATGTTATGATTGTTGAGAAGAGTTTCGACAAGTTCGATGAAATTAAATGCAGTCCAGACTTTACTATTCCGTCTGCAATTGACTGGTCAATTGGAAATCTGAGTTGCGCCAAAGTAAAGAAGACAATATGTGGCCACAATTCTTACTGTGCCAACTCAACTCGTGGTGAAGGATATCTGTGTCGCTGCTCTCATGGCTACCAGGGGAACCCATACTTGCCTAGTGGATGCCAAGGTGCGTAATTCTTATTGAGTTGTTTTAATTGTTGGGCAGAGACAGGTAAAGTTAAGTCTAGCACCGGATAGTTGGAAAATTGTTGGGCGGAAGCTTGTAAAGGCAAGTCCAACACCCATGTCTCAAAATGTGATGAGGTTTAGAACATCCTCATTTGAGTTTTTTCAGTTTTTTATGGACATCCGCATGACCGCATCCACATCATCATTCACTATCTCACTCAATCACAAAAAACTCTTCCCCATTAATTTTAAGTTTTTTTTTTTTTTTTAGTTTTTTATGGACCCACCATTTTACTCAATTATATTTTAATTATTCTTTATTTATTATCATTATAAAAATTATAATTACAATATTATTTTTTTATTATATTTAAATTAAACATGCCAAAATTAAAATAAATATATAATTACAAAGTTTCAATTCTAGTCATATGGTATCAAAATTGTATTCTACATTTATATTGCATAATTTTCTTTTAAATATTTAAAAATTTAACAAAAAATTTAAACAAGAAAAACTAAAAAGAATAAAATAAAAAAATAAAAAAATAAAAAAGAAGCTGGCTGAGTGACTGCAAAGATGCAGCTGGCCGTTGCAACAACCAACCGAAAAACGAAATAGATCAAGTTTCATTTCAGAGTGGCCGCAAGTTGGCATGCGACAACCACTCTGAAGCGCCCCAACACGCACCCGTTGTGACGAGACGTGCACTATAAGCGCTCGTCTATTTTTTTATTTTAATTTTTTTTTTTTTGCTTTTTCCTGACATAATACAACCTAACTTTGCAAGAGAAAGATTTGCCAAAAAACTATTCTCCCTAATAGCCAAAAAAACAGTCATTAATTTTTCTTACCTGTAAAAATCTCAAAAAGTTCACTAATGGTGATACTCTTATAAAATAAAAAATAAAAAATTGTACCTACACTACTAGCTATAGCTTTCAATCCTTCTTTCCACTTCAAATAATGAGAAATTTAATGGCATGAAATACTAGTTAGTGACCAATAATGAGGTAGATCAACAAGATGGAGCATTACAAAACAGATTCCATACTAAACTCTGCAATACAATGCTAATTAATTTATGCAGGGCAAATTTTACTATCGACCATGAGCTCTATTTTAATTTATTTTTCTTGCACATTAGTTTCATTATAATAACATTAAGGTATCATTGAAATAATACTTTATGTCTTTGCTATCTAGTTTAATTTTATACACAATAGGTGTTGAGAATTTTAGCTTAAAATGACATTTAAGTGGCTATTTTTTAGTACAAATATATGTGGGGTGGACTTCCAATTTGAGTCTGGTCAAAGTTGATTCGCACTCTACGTAGTGAGACGAAGAAATTGATACATTGAATGCTCAAATCGGATAATGGGTGAATGAAAAATTAATTCTCAAATTAGACCATTTGAGTTCAAAAATGAAGGTGGAAAGACTTTGGAAAAACAATTGTCGCACATTGATTTGGGATTTGGGTTTGCACCACTATATATACAAGAGCCTTTTAGAATGAGATTGAATTGTATAGCATAGAATCTCTCTCTCGCGCGCAGGGGTGCAAGTCAAATGTCATCCGAAAATTGGCTGACCCGCAAGGACTTTATGTTTGAGTCTCAAACACTAAAGTGGTAATCAGTTTTATCCTGCAAGATTGACGTTACAATGCTCATAGCATCATCAGGAGGTAGCGAATCGGTTTTAAAGAAACTGTAAGTATACACGACTAGGATTTCTCTTTCTTCTTCTTTCTTGTCCTAGTCCAATGGACTTTATGTTTGAGTGCTTAAACACTAAAGTGGTAGTCCATTTTATCTTGGGAGATTGGCGCCACAATGCTCCTAGCACCATCAAGAAGTAGCGAGTCGGTTTTAAGGAAAGTGTGAGTATACAGGACTCCGATTTCACCTTCTCCTTTCTTGTTCGTTGGGTTTATATTAAAAATTATAAAACCCTTTTTCATATATATATATATATATATATATATATATATATATATATATATATATATATATATATATATATATATTGATAGGGTTATAGGCCAACTAACCCACCTGGGTTACGGAGCTCATAGTGCATTTCCCGACAATAGTGCACTTCTCAACCATAATGCACTTACCAAGTACAACCTACTTCCCGGTCTCATGTACTAATAATAGACCTCCTGTTCTTATTTATTAATAGACCTCCTGATTTCATTTTTTGTAGACCTCCTGGTCTCATTGATTAGTAGACCTCCCGGTCTCCAAGCGTCTTACCACGTGTCAAAACTCTAAGGACACGTGGAAGATATGCTCGGCATGTGTCCTTTCTTCCCCTCTATATATAGGAAATTTATTGCACCTAGAGGGGGGACTTTTTTGGCTCCCAACCTACGTTACTCTACTCAGAGCTTCCCGATCTAACGTGGTTGGTCCTTACTTACTTTCCCAGTAAGACCGACAACCTCTATTAACCTTCTCGACCTCATGTGTGTGTGTGTAAATCAACTCATTTCACAACCTACAATCTTAAATTAAAATTTGTTGTTGAATAAGTCAATGACATCCACTATTGTTGAAAATGGAAGCATGAATGTTATTCGTGGTGCACATTCAAATGGTCTAAGCGGCAATGTTGTTACACATTCCAAAACCCTAATGAACTTTTGTTCACAGACTAGTGGTGACATCTAAGGGTATATCTCTATAATAAAGGTGTCTGTAACGGTACCAATTGATCTGGTCAAAAGACCTTGGAAATTCAATGAGTTGAATTTCAAAGGATGGCAACATAAAATGTTCAGCGTAGAGATTCTCGACATGTCAAGGTTGTTGACTGAGATGGTTCATAGTGGAAAGAAACATGGGTCAAACGCTCAAACCGTTAGCGAAGTGAGGGTTTGGAAATATTTTGTTTTCGTATGCCTAAACTATGTTTTAAGAGTTTGTGTGACTTGATATACAATGTATACTGTCAACTGAAAACATTTAACGGGTTGTGGGAGTCTTTGGACCTGAAGTATAAAAGTGAATACGCTAAGGCAAATTAACTTGATTAGAGATACCAAATTGCATGTATTAGTTTGAAACTTGAAATTGAAACAAAATGATGAAAATGTTGAGACAACAAAAATAAATCTAAAATCACTTGACTTTTCGAGTAGTGGTGTAAATGATGTATAAAGTTATCACTCTTGTGGATTAAAACAAGGTTTTGTCGAACTGCTTTCTCTCCAAATTACACAACTGCTTTCTCTCCCTTTTTCATCTGTAAAGACCCTGTGACTCCATCCTCCAGCTGCCGACTGACGCTCTAATGGAGGGTTGAGCCGGCGGTGCCATTAGTAGACTCCATCATCTGGTTGTTTTAGGAATAAGCGTTAGATCTTAGATTTTCACTGATCGTTCTTTTCAGAGAAGGCGTAGAGACTCTCCAGATCTGACAGGTTTTCTATCATCTTTTTCATTTATTTTGTTTTCTTTTGATTCTACGTTATCCCTTTGTTCCTTTGACTAGTTTGTTTTCTCTCGTCTCTCTGGCGAGTGTATCCCTCTCATTTCTTTTGCGAGTTTTCCTCTCGTTTCTTTAGCGAGTTCTCCTCATAAGCGTGGAAAGATAAAATGGTCACATCAAAGTCAGGCTTAACTATGTTTGACCAGATCTGTGAAGAAGCACCGAGTTCATCCAACAACTTCGGCTTCAAATTTATAAAACAGTCCGCGATCCAAGTTTTATATAACATTACTAGGAAATTTGTTTCTATGTCTGACCGTAAAGAATGCACTGTCATTCTAACGATCTGTATTGTAAACATTCCTGTTTATGATTAATGAATTGGCCTTTTATTTAAAAACAAAAAAAAAAACAAAAAAAACAAGAAAAAAAAAAAAGGTTTTGTCTAAATTTGGAATGAAGGAAAGGGTTAATTACTAAATGAGTTATAAGCTTGGTAATAACTGCAATTAATAAATATTATTATTTCAACTTGCCTGGTTGAGTCTTCGTATTTGTGGCTTGGCAGACTAGGTCATGGTAATTTTTAATCTCTATGAAGATTAATTAGCATGACCACATTCCAAAGTAATGATAAACAGAAATATGATATTTGTGATGTGGCTAAACCATCGAAAAGTGAAGCGCACATCTCAAGTCTAAGAAGTGCTAGAAGCACCTCTCAGCCATGTGTCCAAGAAGTAAACGTACCTTCTGGTCATAGGCTAGAGTTTACGTACTTCTCGGCCCAGCCTAGAAGTAAGTTTACTTCTCGGTGTCGACGGAAAGTCGATTCACTTTTCGGGTGATACCAAGAAGTGGCTTCAACTTTTCTGACATAACCAACTTAATCGTGGAATTAAGGCGGGTAGAAGCGATAGATGTCCTGAATTTGAAACACCTATCGGTAATTTCTGCATAAGCGTCCGTACTCGAGCGTACGACATGATATTCACTTCAATCGAACGATGTTGCTGAACATAAAAATCGAAACGTTGATCAGTTTGGTTTTACCTCAAAGTATGTGTGTAAACTGAGTTTCGAAAAGAAATTACCTTTTAAATAAGGTTCCCTACAAGAAACTCGATAAGATTCCTTACGAGTTGTGGAAAGTTAGGAAGTTTTCCTGCCAATACCTGAAATGTGGGGGTATCTTGTCAAAAGTGTTCTTAGTACTCGAATCCACATAACCTTCAAACAACTCTTTGTGGGTACTGCTCGAACTACTGTTCGTAGATACTGCTCGAAGTACTATTTATAGTACACTATTCTAGTAGTATTAATTCTAATCCATATGAATTGATTACAAATTAATTCCAATTTAATTTTGAGAATTAAACGGTAGATTAAAGTGGTAGGTTATGGGGTTACATATATGAAATTATTTCATATGTAAATGTCGTTATTGAATACTATTATTTTCCTCATCTCCTACAAATAGCCTTGTTGTTGGCAAATTTGTACGCTGGTTTTACCTGCTCAAAATCTTGTCTTTTGCTCTCATCACTTCTCCTGTCTCCTGTTTTCTTAAAAGAAAACCTGCCAACGTTTTTGCAAAACGAAATAATGAAGTGTTCGCCTATTGTCCTTGTTCATCAAACTTTATGTTTGAGTGCTCAAACACTAAATTCGTAATTTGTTTTATCTTCGGAGATTGACGCTACAATACATATTTATAAATCAATTAACTTATTCCACAACATACAATAAGTTCATTATAGCAATACTAAAGTATCATTTTAAGTCCAAAACACATTCATTTGATATATTGGTATGAGCTATGCTATTCAGTTTCATTATATATATATATATATATATATATATATATATATATATATACACACACACAGTAGGTTCATTATAGCAACCCTTACGTATCATGTCAACACTAAAGTGTTATTTAAATTCTATTACTACATGTTCAATATACATATTTATGGCGTATCACTATAGTTCACACAGCTGTGTAGACCATAATCTATAGTATAACAATTTAATTTACGGTAGTTGTAGTGACTTTTAAGAGAGAATATACAAATTTACTTGTTAAGTAACGATTCTCTTTTTATTGACTCTGAAGATATTGATGAGTGTGAAAGCCAAAAGGAGAATATGTGCCCAAAGAACGCAGATTGTGTTAATATTCCAGGCAGCTATTATTGCACTTGTCGACAAGGCTACCGCAGTGATTTAAGTAAATCCAGTCCATACGGATACACTTGCATACTTGACTACGAAAGGCATATGTTGGTCACGCTAATTTTTGTAGGTATGGAAATAAGAGTAATGCCTACCTATTCCCTTCTAAAATTTATCTCATAATTTTTTTATGCTGATATGATGCTATATATCTAATTAAATTATTTAATATTTGATTGAAAGTATATGTGTCAGTCAATTTGTTATACCCAATGAATATAAGGGTTCGTTTGAAAACCTGGAAAAATGTTTCAAGAAAATTATTTCTAGAAAATGACATGTTTTTCAAAAAATATTGTAATTTTCTGGTGTTTGGTTAAATGTCAGAAAACTATTTTTCTGTTTGGCTCAAAGCTAAAAAGAAAAATTACATTTTTTCTATTTGGTTCATTTTCCAAAAAAAAAAAAAAAGAAGAAGAACATATTTTGTTATAATGATGACGGTGATGATGATGATGATAAATAATAATAATAATAATAATAATAATAATAATAATAATATGTGGTGATGGTGGTAGTGTGTTGTGTTGGTGGTGGTACGGTTCAAGTGGTGGTGTTGTGGTGGTGGTTGTGATGGTGTTGGTGTTGGTGGTAGTGGTAGTGGTGATTGTGGTGTTGTTAGCGATGGTGCATGGTGTGGTGGTGGTGGTTGTTGTGATGGCGTTGGTGGTAGTGGTGGTGGTGTTGGTGGCAGTGGTGGTGCATGTAGTAGTGGTTGTGTTGGTAGTGGTGGTGTGATAATGGTGATGGCGGTGGCGGTGGCAGTGGTAGTGGTACGGTGGCAGTGGTGGTGGTTGTGTGTGGGTGGTGATGGTGGTGGTGGTGTTGATGTTCGTGGTAGTCATGGTGGTGGTAGTGGCGGCGGCGGTGGTAGTGGTGGTAGTAGTGGTGGGTGGTGATGGTGGTGGTGGTGCATGTGGTATTGGTGTTGGTGGTTGTAGTAGTGGTGGTAATGGTGGTGTTGATAGCAATGCTAGTGTGGTAGTGCTGTGTTGGTGGTGGTGGCGGTGGCAGTAGCGATGGTACTATGGTAGTGGTGGTGGGTGCGGTGGGGTGGTTGTGGTGGTGGTGTTGATGTTGGTGTTGGTGGTGTTTGTTTTAGTGTTTGTGGTAGTGATGGTGTGGCACCGGTGGTGACAATGGTGGTGGTGGTGGTGTGGTAGTTGTGGTGGTGTAGGTGGTGGTGGTAATAATAATAATCCAGAAATTAACTTTAAAAAAATAAAAGAAGAGAGCAAAGAGAGAAATGAAAAATAAACAATATGGAAAATGTCTTCCGACTAAAAAACTAAGAAGACATTTTTGGACAAATTAAGCATTTTTTACGTTGACCATAATTGATATTTTCCTTGGACTTCATTTTCTTTGAATACCCACCTGAAAAATCTAAAAAATGACTTCCGGAAGTCATTTTTCAGCTTTCCAAACGGACCCAAATTATATCATGAAAATAAACTATTAAGGGAAACTTTCCTTGAAAATAATAGCAATTTTCCTTAAAATTAATTAATCTTTACAACCCACAACAAAAGGGTGAGTCTGTTGTAATACTTATGCTTGTTTGTTACTTATGAGAAGAATTTAATACTTATGAAAACCAACTTGTGTCTCCTGTGTAACAGTCATGAGAATTTGCCACAACACAATATTGTCTTTGAGTCCATAAATTAATGAATGTAAAGTTTAATTTAATTTCCACAACAGGTGTTGGAGTGGGCATAAGTATTTTAATACTTGTAGTCACTGGATTCTGGCTTATTCGCAAGTTCAAAAAGAGGAAACTTGAGAAAACGAAAGAAAGATTCTTCAAGAGGAATGGAGGCTTCTTATTGCAAAAGCAAGTGTCTACTAGTAACAGAGGAAGTGTATTAGAAATAAAAATTTTCAAGACCGAAGAACTGGAGAAAGCAACAGACAATTTCAATCAAAGTCGTATTCTTGGGAAAGGTGGACTTGGTACAGTATACAAAGGTATGTTATCAGATGGGTGCATAGTGGCTGTGAAGAAATCTAACAAGGTAAATGAAGGTCAAGTTGGCCAGTTCATCAATGAGATCGTCATACTCTCCCAGATAAATCACAGACATATTGTGAAAGTCTTAGGTTGTTGTTTGGAAACAGAAGTTCCATTGGTTGTATATGAATACATATCCAATGGAACCCTTTCACAACATCTTAATAACAATAATACTAATAGTAGCACTTCACCACTGTCCTGGGCACAACGTTTAAGGATTGGTGCAGAAATAGCCGGAGCCTTAGCCTATTTGCATTCGGGCGCTTCTACAGCCATCTTTCACCGAGACATCAAGTCGAGCAACATACTTCTGGATGAAAACTATAGGGCGGTGATTTCAGATTTTGGACTTTCAAGGTCAGTACCTATCGATAGAACCCATTTAACCACGGTAGTTGGGGGCACCTTTGGGTACTTAGACCCCGAATACTTTCGCTCGGGCCAGCTAAACGATAAAAGCGATGTCTATGCATTTGGGGTCGTCCTCGCGGAATTATTGACAGGACAAAAGGTCATATCTTCCAATACGTCTGATCAAGGATTGGCATTTCGGTTTAAGACGACTTTGAAGCAAAAAGATGGGCTATTTGAAATGTTAGACCGTGTAGTTGCAAATGAAGGTGGAGAAGAAGAAATATTTGCTGTTGCTAAGCTTGCCAAGAGATGCATAAAGCTAAATGCTAAAAAACGGCCGTGCATGATGGAAGTAGCAACTGAACTTCAACGATTGGCAAGGACTAATGGAGAAGATTTACAACGCAGACCAAAGGGTTGTGAGCTTAGCTACTTCTCGTCAGGCGCCATGTCGTTTGACTACAGCTTGGATTTATTTACAGATGAGACGATGTAGAGAAAAATCATTTAACAACAATGCTGGTGGACAAGAAATCGTGAAGCAGGAATTTGCAGTTGTATTATCTCTATTCTAAATAGATTTTCCCTCTATTTCCTTAATTAGCCGACATCGTATCATTATTTTAAATAATATATAATTATACGACGTCGGCTAATACGCTATTAGCCCACGTCGTATGTGTATTTTTTTAAAAAAAAAATTATACGACGTCGGCTAATAGGCTATTAGCCGACGTCGTATGTATATTTCTTTTTTTTTTTTTATATTAAAAATGTTTTATGCTTTCTAGCCCAACCTGCTATATCAATCAGAACTTGTGCAGCTAGTTACATTCAACATCAACATCAACTAATTCAAGTTACGTACTAAACATGAAACTAATTAAGCTACTAAAAATAAAATTAATATAAATAACACAATCTACATAAACTACTATAAACACAATCAACACCAAATAATTCAAGCAACAAAACTACTAATTAACATCAAACCAATAAACACAAAGTAGTTTTAAACATAAAGTAGTATCAATTGAGCAACGTTTTATTAACCCATTCATCAATAAGAAACTTAGACCACTTGTTTCTAACGTCATCAATCTCTTGTTTGTTGTAGGGCAATCTTCCTTGTCTTTCCAAAATCTACAAAGTTCAAAAAAAATAAAAATAATAAATAAGCAAATATTTTAAACAACATTTGAAGAAGAAATATGTATTATTAAATTACTTGCTTTATCCATTCCTTTGCTTAGGTTGTTGGAAACAATTTCCCACATGAATTTCATCACATAATAACCACATTCGGTGCTTCCTTTTTGTATAGCACACTACATTTGAATTACAATAAAATTATAAAAAAGTAATAAAAAACAATAAGTTTGCATGTTTTACAAAGTGAAAGAAGTACTTACCAAACATGTAGTCCATTTCGGTGGACGAGATTGTTCTTTCCACTCATCATGCTTGTTGCAGCCATACACCAATTCATATAAGACATAAAATATATGTAAATATTTGGCATCACTAGTTTAATTAATAATAACTATTAATTCATTATATAAATTTACATACGTTTCCATTATATGTTTAATGTCTTCACGCGGCCCATGACCGAGTGAATCAAACCAAAAAATTTCATTTAATCTAGGACAAATCGCCATCAGCATCCAATGCTCACTACAAATAAGTAATTTATTAGTTATAAGTAAATAAGTAAATATAATATGTAATAAAAATATATTATATATAAGCACTTTAATTTAAAACGTAATTAAAACTTACATGAGAACGTATGGGGCTAAATATACATTTTTCTTCACATACTGCATGGTGGCATTTATATATGATTTTCTTTATTCTGTATTATTCATTTTTGGTTGAATCCAATATGGATCTAGGAAGCCATACGTGTCTTTTGATGCCAACTCAAAATTGATGTAAATACCCCTATTCACAAACACAACCAATTATACATAGATTACCATCAGAAATCCTTTGATCTGCATGCCATGTTAAGTTCTTCGCATCACTTGGATTTGCAAACAGGCGCTTAAATCTTGGAAGAATTGGGAGATACCACAAAAATTTAGCTGGTGGCTTTTTCAAACGTACTTTACGAGCAACATTCTCGCTTGTTTTATAACGAGATGCCCCACATATTGGACATGCATGCAAGTCTTTGTAATCATTCCTAAACAATATGCAATCGTTAGGGCAAACATGTATCTTTGTATATCCCATATCCATTGGACACAAAATTTTTTTGGCATCATACGTACTATTGGGAAGTTCATTACCATCTGGAAGCATGTCCTTTACTATTTCAAGTAACGCAGTAACGCTCTTGTCGCTCCACCCATTCCCTGCTTTCAAGTTGAATAATTTTAATATAGCAGGTAATCGGGAATATTTACTACACCCTGGCCATAACGGTTGTTTTGAATCATTCAATAATTCATCTAACTCATTTGACCGATTGGTAAACTCTTCTCCAACATCGCGAAACATTTCATCCAACGATCTTCAGACTCATTATCTTCATTGTCAACATACACATTAGATGTCGTAGACACATCGCGTTCACCGTGCCAAATCCATTGTGTATAATATGAATTAATCCCATTAACGATTAGATCATCATATATGTCCTCTTCACCTAACTTTTTCTGATTACAACATTTCTTACAAGGACACAACCACCTATTATTACTATTCGGAAGGTTACTCTTTGCAAAGTCTAAAAATTTTCTAACTCCATCTTCGTATTCCGTACTAAGTCGATTAGCTATCATCCAACTTTTATCCATCACGTACAAGCCAATCTAGATAATAATAACTCTAATTAAACATTTGTTAACACTATTTTAACAAATTTCTATAATAATAACTACTACAACAACTACAATAATTTTAGCATTTACATAGTGCAAACAAGTAGCATTTCATGGACGCAAACAAGTAGCATTTATCCATCACGTACAAGCCAATCTAGGTAAAATTATAATAACCATTTGTCAATTCTAGATGCTTTCTTATACATCCTAACTAACCTAAGAACATGCCAAACACAATGTGAATGGAATCTTGTTAAACACAATAGACAAATTGCGTACCCGAGACCGGCGGAGAACAATGGAGGAGGAGCGCAGCAAGGATTGAACTTAGTCAAACCCGATTGACGCCTAACAAAAAATAAACCAATCAAATATTTTCACCTAAAGAAGTGAAATCAAACGAAATAGAACATTTACTCATTAATATATTATCATAAAAACATAATAATATATTTAACTCGATTAATTTCTCTCTCTACCTAGCTCATGAGTCAAGAATCATTTTTATCATTGCAACCAAGTATTGATTCAACCTAGCATCAAGATTAGAATTGTAATAAGAATCACATACTTAATTCCTTATTAATTGGAATAGGTTTTAGTAAATGCAACTTCTTCTTTTGGTTTTATAGTATATAAGATAATTGAAATTGAATATATGATAAATAGGTGTGGAAGTTCATGAACAAAACATCCACATCTAGAAATTATAACTACTACAACAACTACACTAATTCTTAACTACTACTCCATCCATCTCATTTATAGATAACAATTTCTAAAAATTAAAAATATATAAACAATATTTCATAAAATTCCACATATACACACAACAATTCATAATTTACCCAATAACTTATACAAGTTAAAAAATATACACAATTATTCCTAAAATTTCAAAATATACACAATAATATATAAACAATATTTCATAAAATTCAACATATACACACAAAAATTCATAATTTACCCAATAACTTATACAATTAAAAATATATACACGATTATTCCTAAAATTTCAAAATATACACAATAATATATAAACAATATTTCATAAAATTCTACATATACACACAACAATTCATAATTTACCCAATAACTTATAAAATTAAAAATATATACACAATTATTCCTAAAATTTCGAAATATACACAATAATAATTTATAAAATTCAAAATTCAAAAAATATAAAAGATTAATTAAATATATATATATATAAAAAACCATTTTTAATATATATATATATATATATATATATATATATATATATATATATATATATATATATATATATATATATATATATATATATATATATACACGTACCTGCCGGCGACAGGTCGACGCCGTCCGGCGTCCGGCGGCGAGGCAACGAGTGGCGAGCGGCAAGCGGCGAGGCAGCGAACGGCAAGGCGGCGAGCGGCGAGCGGCAACGCAGCGAACAGCGAGGCGGCGAGGCAGCGAACGGCGAGGCGGCGAGCGGCGAGGTAGCGACGAGGGATCTGATCTGTGGAGATACGGTGAGTAGAGATGAGTATACGGTGGCAGTGGTGGAGATGAGGATAGAGTGGCGGGGATGGAAAGTTTTGAAGTTTTGATGGCGATTATTTTGTAGCGGTGGCGGTGGATCTGATCTGTCTTCGACTAGGTTATTAGAATGAAATGAGTATACGGCGTCGGCTATATACGTAGCCGACGCCGTATACTATATTTATTTTTTTTATTTGTTTTTAATTCGAGTATACAGCGTCGGCTGTATATGTTGCCGACGCCGTATACTATATTTATTTTTTTTATTTTTTTTAATTCGAGTATACGGCGTCGGTTGTATACTCGTTGACGCCGTATACTATATTTATTTATTTTTTTATGGGAGATACGGCGTCGGCTCTTTATAAAGAGCCGACGCCGTAGATTTTATTTATTTATTTATTTTTATTGTAGATACGGCGTCGGCTATACCAAAAATCCGACGTCATATGTATTTTTTAAAAAATAAAAAATAATTTTAAATATTTAATGTCGGATTTTCTAAAAACCGACGTTATAATGTCGACATTAAATCCGATTTCTGTAGTAGTGACAACAATAACAGACAGTAACAACACACATGTTCATGTTCCAAACTTATACCAAGTTCCAACCTTTACTCCTCTCCATCCTTATATCAGTTCCAACTTGTACCTCCATGCCACCCTTATATCTATTCCTGCTTCACGATTTCTCTGTATATTTTACTTTGATTTGTTGAAGTTAATGTATATATTAGGTTTGGTTTGTTGAAGTTACAGTATGGCCTTGTTTGGTAAAATGGTTGTTAGTTGATAGTTGTTAGCTGATTGTGTTAATTTGAGAGTATGAGTAGTTGATAACTTTAGCTCATTGTAAAAAAGTGTTTGGTAAATAACTGTTAGCTGATAGTTATTTGATATAATTTCTTTTCTCAAAAAGCTAATTGAAAAAGTTGTTTGGAGTAGCTTTTTGAATTTTAGCCTTTTGGAGTTACAAAAATCTAATTAACCAAACATTTATAGTGATATTTTAACTAAATCCAACAATTAATAGTGGTCAAATAAGCTAAAATTGGCCTAACCAAACATTTAGAGTGATATTTTAACTAAATCAAACAATTAATAATGGTCAAATAAGTTAAAATTAGCCTATAGACCAATTTTTTACCAAACAGGGCCTATATATGTTACTTTGTTTTCTTGGATATGCTTTGTTGCCTCGAGTCCCAGCAAAATACTGTATTAATTAAGTTTGGGTCATTTAAATAATTATTTTTAAAAATAAAAAAAATAAAGGGTATCCGTGGTAATTTCTACTAGAAAAAGTCACGGATATCCGTTTATTTTTGTAAATATGAATCCGTAACACTTTTTTTGAAAAAGCGTTACCGCTTCTTAGCTTTCGCGACAATTTTACAAATGTCACGGAAAGTTAAGCTTTCTGCAACATTCGCATCCGCTACACTTGTACAAATATCATGGATACTCTTGGACAAGTGTAGCATATGTGCAATAAGTGCACTAAATGTCCTTTATATATAGAGGGGAGAGGTACACATGGGCGTCTAACATGCTCTGCATGCGTCCTATGGAAATTCAATGGCAAAATTATTCTTGTCATTGTCTTTAGAGGTTTGACTATATGATGGGACACTTGGTGTCGTTGTTTGGTTATTTACGAGACCGGTTGTGCTCAGATTTGGTTGGCTTCGTCTTGATGATTATATCTAGATCGACGGCCTAATCAGACGCGGTTGGGAAGTATATTCGTAATCCGGTCAGGAAGTCTACATACAAGGCGATTGGTAAGTCTATTTGATAATGAGACGAGGAGGTTTACTAATAATGAGACCGGTAAGTAATACATACTACTCGGGTCAAGAAATACTCTAGTGAGAGGTCCCATGAGATTGGAAAGTGCACATATAGACTCTCATGAAGTTGTGAAGTGCACTAGTAAGGTAAAAAACTACACTAGTGTGATCCGTAGGACAAGTAGGGTTGCCCTATAACCCTATCACAAGCCTCCCAATCCCTTGTGGTGCGAGGATCATCAACAAAAGAGAGTAGACAAAATAGCATGATAGTTTTCCGAGCTACTTCACTTTTGATTGCGGTGAGAAAGTGACTTGATTGGGTTCACTTACCTAATCTTGCTTGATTTTCGCTGAGATATGAACTTAAGCTCATGGTGTGAGTGATTGGGAGGGCGACCCGACTGGCTTGATTGCTTAGCTCATAGGGCTTATGCCAAATTTGTGTCTCAGGCTATTTTGCCTACTTCATAGGGCTTTTTGGGGGTCGGATTTTACCACGATTGAGAGATCAAAGTTTATCGTGATCAAAAGATCAAATTTTACTGATCAAGAGATCAAATTTTACAACGATCAAGAGATCGAATTTTACTGTGATCTAGCGATCATACCTTATAGTTAATTAAATACAGAGCTATTTATATATTGTAATCCCAGGCTTGGGGTGTCGGTGGTGACAGGAATTGATGACATAACCGGGCTTAATATATACATATATTCTTGTTGTTGTTATTTTCTAAATACATGGCTATAAATAGTACAATTTACAATTTAAAAATTACATTCATAACTCTATGTGTTCTGACTTGAACAATATGTTTATAGCTGAGAACAAGAAAGCCCCAGCATTTATAAAGCTAGTCACGCTGTCAAGCCTTGAACCTTTAGCTGGTGGCCAGACTTTGATTGAGTGAGGCTAGGATGAGAATTGAATGAATTGTATTGAATAAACTTGATTACAAAGATATATGATACATGAATATATATAGTGAAAGAATCACATGGAGACTAAGATAAGGAATCATAATCTAACTCAAATACATACAGTTCTAATACTCCCCTCAAGCACAGGGTAAACTAGTAACATGTAGCTTGTCCCTAACAGAAGAAAATCTATGACCAGGTAAAGCTTTTGTAAATATATCAGCAAGTTGATCTTTCGTTGAAATAAACTTAACTTGAATATCTGCAGATGCAACTCTGTCTCTGACAAAATGGTAATCAATTTCAACATGTTTGGTGCGAGCATGGAAGATCGGATTAAGTAGCACCAATATTGCCACACCATAATTTAGGAATAGGAATATTGATCTCACGTAGCAAAGATAAAATCCATATCACCTCAGCACAAACATTTGCTACAGATTTATACTCTGCCTCAGTAGAAGATCTAGAAAAAGTTTTTTGTTTACTACAGACCCAATACACAAGATTGGACCCAAGAAACACAACATAACCACTAGTAGACTTACGATCTTCAGAACAACCAGCCCAATCAAAATCAGAAACAGCATGAAGTTCTCTTGACACTGACTTTCTTATACGCAAACCAAAAGTAATTGTTCCTTTAACGTACCTCAATACACGTTTTAGTTGCTCCCAATGTGATATTGTAGGAACATGCATATGCAAACAAAGATGATTAACTGCAAAAGACAGGTCAGGTCGTGTGGTTGTGAGATATTGCAACGCCCTAGCCAGACTCATGTATTGCGTAGGATCATCATACAAATCTGCATTGAAAGGAACAGATTTCAAGATAGGAATAGGAGTAGCTAGAGTCTTGCATTCTGCCATACTAGCACGTTTTAAAATATTTGTCATGTACCTCTACTGAGAAAGTAATATTCCATCATCACATTTAACAGTTTCAATCCCAATGAAAAAACTAGGTTCACCAAGATCCCTAATCTTAAAAGCAGTAGACAGTTTAGACAGTAAATTATTCACTAAATTCTGATCACTTCTCATCACAAGTATATCATCCACATAAACCAACAGATACACAGAAGCAGAATCCTGTGAATAGTGAAATAATGACACATCTGTCTTTGATGCTTTAAACCCAACTGATACTAAAAACGTTCGTAGGCGATTAAACCAAGCTCTAGGAGCTTTTTTTAAGCCATACAGAGATTGTTTTAGCAAACAAACATGATTAGGGAACTGAGAATCAATATATCCAAGTGGCTGGCGCATATTGTGACAACTCAAAATTTATTTTCCTAAATTCTATTTTCTAAATCCCAAAATAATTAGTTTTACTCATTCAATTTTTTTTTTTTAAATAGGTGTATGAATTAAATATTTTAAATCGTGATTTTTATTAATTCAACACCAAATATTAAACTATTTCGAAAATCATAAATTTTGGGTATATCTATGTATCAAGTTTTGACCCAAAAAGTCAATATGAGTGAAACCTGAGAAGAACGTGTGAAATCTGAGTCAAATGTTTTTACTTAAAAACATCCTTATAAGAAATCTATTTTATCCCCTAAGATGTATAAACCTATTTTAGTACCCCTAGCTTAGTCTAAAGGGATGAGCCTGATATTTTATAAGTCAAAGGACCAAAATGCCCTTCTCAGCCAACATCTTACCTAGGGTTTCGTACTCTATTTAAACCACACTATTCACCTGATCATCTTCAATCCCTCCATTTTGCCTCCTTCACTGTAAGCAGAGGAAATCTAAGAAAGAGAAGAGAAAGCACTGTAAGCCATTTTCCACCATTCATCTTCATCTTCTACCTTCCATTCATCTCCTGATACTCATCTTTCACCCTTCTATTTCATCTCTTCTATCTTATAGTGTATGTATGAGTATGTGATGGGTGTTGTATGTGTTTATGTTATTGTTTGAGGAAACTAGGAGGTGAGGGTGGAAGCCATTGTTAAAAGAAGAGGAGGTATTCACACTAGGAATAGCAAAGTTCAAAGGTATAAACCATGGATTCTCAAATCTATTATTTTAGCCCTTTGTTAATAGATTTCTTGAGATTTGATGCTTAGAAATGATTAATAATGCATGGTAATATGTTTATTGTGTGTTGATGATGTTAGATGATTTATTCATGGTTGTTTGGAGGTGTTTTGTTGAGGTTTGTGATGTAAAAATGGAGTTTGTGTCATCTGGTGCGTTACAGAGAAGCTCACTGTCTCAGCTTTCGGTTTGGCCGTGAGGGCCTAGCCAACGGACCCAAAGGGGATCCGTTGGCATGGTCCGTTGATTAACGGACCAGAGTGAGGGATCATGGGGTGATCCGTCACTCCAATCCGTGTCTTGGCGGAGCCAAGTTGCAGGGCTCCTCAAGACCCGCCACCTAGGTCCGCCAGGCCATTTTGAGGAGAAGCTGGGCCCTTTGAGGCTCAGCTATGTGTTGTTTCGGATCAGGATTTGTGGGTCACTAAGGCTCAGACACTCGGGCTCATAACGACACGCTAGTGTGAGTTGTATTCGTATGATTTTTGAATAGAAGCATGTTATCACACAAAGTATGAAAATTGGTCCCTGAGTATTGAGAAACTTGCATGATAATTAGATTTCCAATATGAGAAAGAGAAGTTGCATGAGATATATATGCTATTTATATAAAGTGAGGAAAACCCATGACTTTGGAGGCCCGCGTTTGGACTATGTCCTTTCAGATGAACAGAGAAAAGATCGGTAAAGTCACTGACAAAACAGAGAAAAGATCGGTAAAGTCACCGACAAAACTGAGAAAAGATTCAGTCAGAGAAGCATGCTTTTAGAAGTAACTTGGTAGAACAATCCTGAGTTGCTAGGTTGGATACTACTCGCTGGGCTTGAAATCTAAGTTAGGGGGTCTGCACACTGAAAGTATGATACCTGATTCCACCGAGATTAAGAACCACGAGTACCGGTTCTGTGGGCGAGATGAGTATTAGGCCGGCCAGATTGCCGAGCCCAGATAGGTCTATTCACGATTAGTGAAGTTCCTACCCCCCCCCCTACCCCCACGAGTTCAGAAAGAAAGCAAGAAAGAAAGAAAGAAAGATAAAAAGCGAGTCAAGTGACATCACCCGAGGATGATCCACTAACCTCTCGGATTCAGGTTGATTGAGGATTTTGTGTCTAGGGGAAGAATTTTTCATTCCTTAGACTATGATGGTGAATTTGCAGTTCCCTTGGGAGAGGATGGATTCAAGCCATATAGGATGATATACAATCGTTATACCCTGCACCACGGTGCATATAGCACTGTGCGCCCCGCGCCTCTCAAAACGATGTCGTTTTGATAAGTTGTGTGGGGAGTCGACGCAACAGAGTGTATGTGTATTATGTTATATAATTATGTACATTTTGGTATACAATTATGTACATTTTTGAACACGCGATTTTTTAACAGTTAAAAGTTTATGTACATTCACATATACAATTATGTACATTTTAGTATACAATTATGTACATTTTCAAAACATGAATATTTTTTTTTAACAAGTTAACAACAAACACAAAAAAAAAAAAAAAAAAAAAAAATTCAAAAAAAAAAAAGAGTACAAAACGACGTCGTTTTACATCAAGGTGCACAATGCAATGTGCGCCCTGCTGCACGATATAAATTGCGGATGATATAGGATTGAGCTGAGTTTGGGCTGCAGTTTACGGTGTACGTGTGTCATTTTAGTTTGCATTTTGGCTTGTTTTGCTGCCACTGTGTTAACATCGTCTTTTTGAAACACTTAAACGGGTTTTGGTTTTAGTGTGCAGTGTGTTTTTGTTAACAAAGTTGTGATTTAAGTTAGCATTTTGGGTTGTTTTGCTGAAGATGAGGTACCATATATGCTTATTTCACTTTATTATTTCAATCCAAGCCAACAAACTTCTCTTCAAATTTAGTTTCTTGATTCATGTCAAATAATTCAGATTCTGAAAGCTTAATGACCAACTTACCATGCATGCATCTCCATTGCAGTGTCTGATCTGGTGTTGATTAATAATACAAATTAAAGCTGGACAATATTGTTAAAAGTAGAAGAAAAAAAAAATAACTGAATAATATGGTCAAGGATGGTGGCTTGACAATATGTACCATGTCAAATAATTCTTGTACAATATGTCACACATGCAGAACTGGTGGCTCCAAGGGCGGATCTACAGTGGGGGTAGCAGCTCCCCTCACCTCACCCCCACCCCTATCCCTATATAACCTTGTATGTATATATCAGGGTTGTAAAAATCCCGCCTAGACACCGAGTAATCGGCGCCTAGGCGCTGGGCGCCCATAGGCCGTGGCGATTTCCGCCCTAGGCTCTCGCCTAGGAGACCGGCCGCCTAGGCGCCCACCTAGCGCCTAATTCAGCCGCCTAGCGCCTAACTCGTCCGGTTACGCCGAGTTAACTCGTCAATTTCTGTCGAGTTAGTCGAGTTAACCCGACCAACTCGACCTTGCTAATTTTTTCTATTTATATGACAAATACATATAATATGATATATATACACTCGTAGACTAGTTTGATACTTTCAATCTTTGGATGATTGAAGTATTTGGGTATTTCATTTGAGTTTTTATTTTTTTAATATTCTTTTGATTTTATGACTTATGAATTGTCATTATGTCATTTATTTGGATGTGTTATTTGATTGAATGTTGAAAACAGCCTCATTAAAATTGTCAAATTGCAAGTCTGCTACTATTTTTTTCGCGACCGCCTAGCGCCGCCTAGATTCCGCTTAGGCGCCGACTAGGCCGTTTAGGCGCTAGGCGCTGCCCGGGCGCCCGACTAGCGCCCAGCGCCTACTGCAACCATGGTATATATATGTATATATAGTACAAGTTTTAGTATAAGCATGAAAAAACAGATAATATTACTAAGAGTTGAGTTAGATTAGTTGGCTTAGTAGGTGTTTGAGCTTTGAAAAGGCTTAGGTTCAAATCCTAATGCTTTCAAGTTGCAACACAATTTTGTTTAGTCTTACTTTTTAATTATTTTATCACTATTTCTCTATTATTAGTGCCCTCGTTTTCTTAATTTTGAATTATTTTATCAAATTAATTACTGAATAGGGACACTCACATCTTGGAATGTCAAGTATGAGTTGTAAGCCTGAAATTTTTGACAAATGGACACCAATCTCTACGTGAAAGTGAAAGTAAAAGCTTGTCTACATTTTGATTTGAAATTAAATGGGAAGGATTAAAGAGTTGTGCCTATAAATTCTTGTACAATATGTCACACATGCAGAACTAGTAGCCTCAGGGCGGAGGTGGAGGCAGCTGCCCCCCTCCCCCCCCCCCCCGCCCCCCCCCCCCCCCCCTCATATAACCTTGTATGTCTATATGTATATATAGTACAACTTTACTATACATAAAACAAAACAGAAACTATTAGCAAAGTTGAGCTTGATTAGTTGGCTTAGTGTGTGATTGGTCTTGGAGAAGGCCGGTGTTCGAATCTTTTTTATGCTTTCACGTTACAACACAGTTTTTTCACTATTATTAATAGTGCCCTCTTTGTCTCACTTTTGAATTATTTTATCACTCTTTCTCTATTATTATCATTAATATTAGTGCCCTCTTTTTCTTACTTTTGAATTATTTTATCAAAATAATTATATTTAAAAAAAAAAAAAAAACTAAATTCATTACGGAATATATTTTATATTTTGTTATGAATATTTTATAATATTTTGATGTGTTTTATATTTTGCTTATATCCAACAAATATTTATGGCTATAATTCTTTAAGTGTTTCATTTTTTTTTTCAAATTAACATTTTTGTTTTACTGTTTCGCCCCACTGAAAAAAATTTCTAGATTCACCACTGGGTGGCACTGCCCCATTTTCCCCAATTCATTAACTTTTTACTGAATAGTTTTACTTCATTTATTAAATTTTTAATAATAGTATATACTCTTTTCCTTCTCAAATATAAATAGTTGAAATCTAACCATCAACCCCAAGGTTTCAAATTTTCTTTCTACCAATTCTGTATGTTTTCTCTCTCTATTTAAACTCTATTTTTTTAAGCCATATTTAAACTTTATAAACCTTATACCTAACTTCAATAAATTATTTTTTTCTTCATTATCATATATTTTCTTCATACCTAACTATACTAATTTTTTTCTCTCTCCTAAACTTTACAATCTTCCTTGACAAATTCAAAATAATTTTTTTTTTTACTTCATTATTGCTTGTATATTTTGATTTTTTAAATTTTTTCTACGAACTTTTTATCCCTAACTTCTACATTTTCTCAACTTTCTCTCTAACTTTTAAACTTTAGGGATGGCAACGAGGCGGGACAGGGGCGGGGAGTATACTCCCCGTCCCCGGCCCCAAAACCCCGACCCCATCCCCGTCCCCATCGCCGGCGGGAAATAAAAAATAGTTTCCATTTTCGTTCCCGCGGAAAATTTAGCGGGGACGGTGATAAACTTTTAGTTAAAATCTTAATTTAGTGTAATTTTTAATTTTAAAAATTAAAAACTTAAGTTTTAATTTTATATATATATATATATATATATATATATATATATATATATATATATATATATATATATATATATATATATATATATATATATACAATACAAATCTAATAAGAGCCAATAATATTAGGCCCTTAACTGGAACAAAAAAATGTCGCTATAATTGTTTTTAAAATGAATGGTTCATATTATTTTGATTTTAGTATTATTTAATGATTTTCCTTATTTACCTTCTATTATATTATTTTCTTCCCAAATAACCGTACATTCCGTTAGTATAAACTTTAGTAACGAAATATTTCGTTAACTATTTATTATTTTTAACTTACTCATTAATATTTATAAAAAAGTCCCAATTAATATTGGCATAATTGTTAAACATATACTACGAATATGTTAAAACATATATATATATATATATAT